GTGGCCACATCCACTTTAAAGAGTAGTGCTAGTCAAGGAACCAAATCTGTATCATATAATTTTATAAATAGTAACATTAAAACTTCACAACAATCAGAAGCATCAACTACTTCATTCGCTATACCAAATAGTAAAGCACCAATAAATTCAAATAAAAATAGTTTTAAATCAATCCAAGTTAATTCGTAAAGTTTCAATTTGTTAAAAAACCAATGAAAAAAAAGAAGTTATATTAATAGATTTTTTTATTTATTTATAGAATTAATAGTACAGGTTTATTAGGATTATTATCATTATCTTTTCCAATAGATGGTATGTTTCTAAATAATAGTAAAAAAAATAAAATAATAATAATAAATAATAAATAATAATAATAATAGTAATAATAATAATAATAATAATAATAATAATAATAATTAAATTTAAAAGGATTTAATATTAACACATTACTAATAACAGATACCTAATTCATTTTAGATGGTAGCTAACAAAAAAAAAAATTTATTTAAATCTCTTTTTACAACAGGGTCGTAACTTTTTTCAAAAAAAACAATTGCAACAATAACAATAACAACAACAACAACAATAACAACTATACATTGAAACAATATAACAACAAAAACAAAACAATAACGCAACAACATACATCAATAATACCAACAACCAATAAATATATTTGGTATATACTTAAAAATATATACTATTTTAAAATTTTTTTAAATATATATAAAATAAAAAATCTTAATTTTGGGGGGTGACAAGTATAACCCTTTTCAAATTACCATATTTATTATTTTGTAAATTTAGCAAGCATACTTAATTAGATGTATATATATATAGACATACTTTTTTTATTTTATTATTTTATTATTTTATTATTTTTATATTTTTATTCTTCAAATTTACAATATTGTCTAACACCACAAGTATGGATATTTTACATAATAAATGTTATTTTTGTGATATATATATAATATAAAATGGTAAAGTTTATAAAAACAATACTCTATATAAATTATTATTAGTGTATAACTAGTATCATCTATATTGAGTTTTTATTATAGATATATATAACAGAGTATGGACCAAAGGAGAGGTAAATGTTGAATTATCTATCACTTTATATGAATGATGCTACAGAAATTTATAAAATCATTTATAACACCACCAAAAATTTCAAAATTATTTTTTAGTTTCCTATTATAATTATGTTTCACTTCACCCCACTTTCTTAATTAATTAATGTTTTTATTGGACAGTTTTTTTTTTATATAACCCACACTAACTATTTTTAAATTTCAAAAATTCATTTATTTTTTTATATAAAAAAAAAAAAAAAATTTAATACATATATATACATTGGATGCATTGTTAATATGAATTTTTTTACAACAATTTAATCCAAACCTCAAAAACTTATTTTTAATTTATTTATTTTTTCAAACAGTATTTAAGTGTGAGATCTAATAGAGATGGTTGGCAACAATACTGAATACTATTTTATATATTTATATACATATAATTGGGTCACATGTAGCAGGACTAGTAAATCAAAGAACAGTGTTCCATACGGTTTTTTTAGAAATGATATGAAGATTTGTAATTTGCATTTAAAATATATATTTCTTTTAATTTAATTAAGAAAAAAATGAAAAAAAATAAAAGTATAAAAAGAGACTTTTTTTATTCTTTTAATTCATTAAATTAAAGTTGATTTAATAAATAAACTAAAAAAAAAAAAAACAAAATAGTTTCAAAGAAAATATAAAAATTATAATAAAAATGAAAATCATTTCAGTAATTTGCATCTTATTATTAACAATTGCTTATTCTTCTGCTCATGGCTTCTATGGTTGCGGTGGTGTATCTTGTCCATGGGGTAGTATTTCATTAACTAAATTCGGTATTTGTGGTTGTGTTGAAATTTTCAAATGTCACGAAGTAAGTATTCAAACCTATATTTTATACAAAATATAATAAAAGTAATTTTTAATCTAATATTAATTTTTAAAATTAGGTTTCACTTACTACTAGAATCATTGGTAATTGGGAACATGATGGATGCTCTTTCACCCAATACGATGTAACTATTACTAACAATATGGATGCCAACATCAAGAACATTTTTATTGGTACTGATGAAACTTTGAAATTACGTGCTTATGACTCATTATGGAATGCTAAAAGATGTAGCGCTGATGAATTAAGTTTACCAGACTACCAACCATCAATTAATGCTCATGCGTAAGTTTATAAAAAATATATAGTTTTATTTAAATATCATAACTGACATTATTTAAATTTAAAATATTATAGTTCATATACTTTTGGTTTCATCCTTAGAGGTAATGTACCAGCCAACCTTGCCATCTTAAGTGTTGTTTATTAAACTGGATCTTTAATTAAGAAAATCAGTCTAAAATGACTTTTTAAGAAAAAAAAAAAAAAAAAAAATGTAAAAATGTAAAAAATGTAAAAAAAAAAATAATCTTTTTAAATAAATTATAAGAATTTAATCTTTTAAAAAATCAATTTCTTTTTATTATTATATTTGTGAAAATTCCCCCTAAAAAAAAACATTGTTTTTTTATTTTTATTATTTTTTTATTTTTTGAATTAATTTCATTTTTTTTTTTAAATTTTTTAAAATTTTTTTTTTGAATTTTTTATCTTCATTATTGTTTAATTTTATTATTTAAAATTCATCAAATTACAGGGTTTTAATAACAATGTCACAACTAACAAATCAAGAAGTGGAAACAGGTGAAACCGAAGTTATTGAATATTTAGATTTTACAGGTCAACCACATAGTTTCATTGGTGATGGTTATACTTTATACGAATCAATAACTGTATATATACATGTGCAACACTATTTCAAAAAATCATATTATTAATATTAACTCTTAAATTTTAATTTAGGACTTAGATTTAACAAATTGTAAAATACCAAAAATAGATAATATAAGCCATTTAAAAAAATTAAAGAAATTATGTTTAAGACAAAATTTAATAGAAAAGATTGAAAATATCGATCAATTAGAATCAGTCCAAGAAATTGATTTATATGATAATAAAATTGAAGTTATTGAAAATGTAAAAGATTTAAAAAGTTTAACGTATGTATATTTTCATTGTTTATTTTTTAAAAACCAATATTTATTCTAACCTTTTTTTTTAATTAATTTAGATACTTTGATTTATCATTTAATGGTATTAGGGTCATTGAAAATTTACATTCAAAAGATTTACCAATAATCAAGGAATTATTTTTAGCCAACAATAAAATTGTTAAAATTGAAGGTTTGGATGAATTAACAACTTTAAAAAACCTTGAATTAGGTTCAAATAGACTCCGTGTAATTATTCGATTAAAAAATAAAGCAAATATATATATATACTAATCTTTATATATTTTATTTAGGATATTGAAAATTTAAATGCATTGATTAATATTGAAACATTATGGTTGGGTAGAAATAAAATTGTAGAAATTAAAGGTATTAATCATTTAAGTAAACTTAAAATTTTATCAATTCAAAGTAATAGATTAACAGAGATAGGTAATGGATTAGTAGGATTAAATAGTTTAACAGAGTTATATTTATCACACAATGGTATTACAAATATAGATGGGTTACAAACATTAAAACAACTAAGAACATTAGATATCTCAGGAAATAAAATTCAAAAATTGGTAGGTTTGGATCAATTACCAGATTTAGAGGAGTTATGGTGCAACGATAATTTAGTAGATTCAGTGGACAACATTGAACAACAAGTAACCAAAACTATTAAATGTGTTTATTTTGAAAGAAATCCTGTTGCCCAACACCCTCAATATAGAAGAATATTCATTAATATGTTCCCAGTATTAAAACAACTAGATGCTTCATTTGTAAAAAGAAATTAAATAGAATAAATATTTTTTTTTTAAAATTTTAAAACTATAAAGCTCTATAGTGTTTTCATATACACATATTAATATATATTTATTAATATATATTATAATTTATTATTATTATATTTGTTTTATAAATATTATTTTATAAAATACTGATATTATTATTATTATTTTTTATTTCGTAAATCTATAACCTTTCCATTAAACTTGCCACTTGAAACTTTAACATGGTTGCAACTTGTATATACTGGCACACCATTAACTGGTGGATGGGGATGGAATGATTTTAATTTACATTTTTGAATAGTTTCTAAACCTGGTGGATCGGTTAAACGGAAAATACCAAAATTAGGATTGGATCTTGGGGCAATAACAACAGCAATGGCCTCTTGGAGTAAATATTGATATGAACAATGAGTATGAAGGTCAACAGCTGATAAGAAACATTCTTGTGTTGGATGTGTATGTACCCAACCTAATGTTAAAAGGTCATGTTCCAATTGATATTCAAATATTTCATGTTCTTCAATAGTGTTGCATGTATCTGTTGTACCCTCTTGTTTGGGGATAATAATGGTTGTGATTGTAAATACATCATTAGAAAGTGTACCTGAAAGAATTCCACATGTTTCAATTTTTCTACTTGTATTGTTTTCTGATAATCTCATAAAATCTTCAAACATTTTGAAATCTACATTAATTGTTCTTAATTTTGAATATTTTTTGGATGCTTCATCTGAATCAATATTTGGTTTTTTAACAATATTGTTGGCTGGTGTTGATGTTGCTGGTGTTGCTGGTGTTGCTGGTATTGTTGGTGTTGTTGGTGTTGTTGGTGTTGCAATTGGTTTAGTTATATTGGAGTTATTCAAAGCCTTAGCTTGTGCCAAATATGCATTATTGTTTGCATTACTATTATTGATGGCTATATTATTGTTTGGAACTTGATATTGAGGTTTAATATTATTGCTATATTGATAGTTTGGTATATTTTTAAATTGTTGTGCATATGGTGGTAATAGAGGAGGTGATTGAATCGATTGTGGCGATGGTATAACTGGTGGTAATGGAATGTTTGAAATTGGTTTTTGTAATTGTTGTGGTTGTTGTGGTTGTTGTGGTTGTTGTGGTTGTTGTGATTGTTGTGATTGCGATGTTGGGGCTATTTGTACAGGTTGTGTTAATTGAGGAGATTGTATTGTATATGGTGGGGATTGTACTGGATATGGTGGGGATTGAACAGGTCTTTGTAAGTCCTGTAATGGAGATTGTGTTGGTGTTTGTTTTTGTTGTTGAGCGGGTGGGGGTGATTGATATTCATAATGTGAATAGTTAAGAGCTGGATAACCAAAATCTTGTGGAATTTCAACTAATGATATTGGTGGTAATTTAGGTTGTGGTTTTTCTTTTTCTGGAGGAGGAACAAATGATGGGTCTATTATAAAGTCTTTACTTTCAAACTGGTTATCTTGTTCTGCTAGATTACTATTTAAATTTAATTTTGCTATATTTTCAATATCGTCTATATTAATTGTTGGTTGTGGTAGAGGAGATGCTTGATTACTTTCCAAAAAGTCTAAATCATCTGAATTAAATACTGGTAAAACTTGGTTTGTGCTTGATGATGGTATTGGTGATAATATATCGGAGTTTTGTTTTTTATCATCTATCTCTATGGTTGGTGAAGGAGTTGAAAATGATTGTGCTTCCTGTCTTAATAAATCCGTTAATTCCTGTGATGGGAAAAACTTTTTTTTCTTTTTCTCAGCATCAATTTTTATACTTTGGTTTAATTCATCTTCGATTTCTCTTAATCTTTGCTCCTCTTCTTTTCTTTTTTTTTCTTCTTCGAGCTTTCTCTTATTTTCCTCTTCAATTTTCCTAATCTTTTCTTGCTTTATTCTTTCTAATTCCTTTTGTCTTTCCTCTTCTTCTCTCTATTAAAAAGAATTGGTTAGTAAATTTTTTAAAAAATAATTAATCTATTGAATATAGTTTAGAGTAGGATCACTTACTTTTAGAATATAACCTTTATCTAATACTGATTTTACTGATTCTAATTCTGATAATATTTGGTTTGCTTTTGATTTTAAATCATTTATTGACTTTTTATTAACATCTTTGGTATATTCTGGGTGTTTTGGTAATTTCTCTAGTAATAAACTACAAAATCTGATAGAGTAAATATAGGACTTTTCAAGATCACCCTCGGATTTATATTGAGCTGCTTGTTTATACAAATTATTAGATGTTGATAGATAATTAAATAAACTATAGTGTTTATCAATATCTCCTATGCTACAATGTTTTTCGACCAACTCTTGTACCGATGATGATATATAAAGTGGTTTAATATTTACTAGTGTCATTTTTTTTTTTTAGCTGATATCACCCTTTTCCCTCTTCTTTTTAACCTCTAAAGAATACAATACATGTATATATATAAAAAAGATAAATAAAAATAAAATGAACTTTTAATTTTATAGAAAATTAAAAAAAAAAAAAAAAAATACAAATAAAAAAAAAAGGTATTACTTGATTTTTTTTGAAAATAATAATTAAAAAAACATTTTAAAAAAAAAAATAAAAATAAAATTAAAAAAAAAAATAATTAAAATAATTAAAAAAGATTTTAATTAAAAACTTAAAAAAATAAAAAAAATAAATACCAATAATAAATAAATAGGATAATAAAAATAAAATCCTAACAAAGATAGTAAAAAAAAAAAATACATATAAAATAAATAAAAAAAATTTGGAAATACATTTATTACTATTGTTAAAGATTATTATTAGTTTTTATTTTTAATTTTTAATTTTTTTTTTAAATTTTTTATTATTGGTTTTTTTTTTACATTGAAACTGAAAATTATTCCATCTTTTTTTTTCTTTTTTTCTTTTGTAGCTTATAAAATTACTATTCTACTATTATTATTATTATTTAAAATATTATATTGAATTTAGAAAATATTGTTTGTGGTTTTTGGAATTGGTGTGTCAGTATCAATTTCAGATTCTTTAATGTCAAGAACAACTCTATCGAATTGAACACCATATGGGTTTTCTATTCTACCCATGTTCTTTTGGAGACTTTTAATATTTCTAATATCAAAACCTTCAATAATTTTTTCATTTTGGAAGAAAACTTTATTATTTAAGATTCTTGGTGGTGTAAGTTTGAATGGTTGAGTTTCGTAATAGTCTTTTTCAATTTTTTCTTTTGGTGTGAGTTCTTCTTGTTCGAATGGGGTATTATCTAAATATTTTGGTGCTGGTCTCATGGAAAGGACTTCACCTCTTTTCTTTAAAAATTTGTAAACTCTGGTTAATGGACGAGTTTTAACGAATTGTTTATTTGTGACTTCTGGTGGAGCTTGTGAACTGTAATAAAAATAATAAAAATATTAATATTTAAACCCTGAATTTGAATCTGTATTGTAAATTATAATTTGAGTGAGGTTATTGTATCCTATTTAGTTTTTTTGATATCTAAAATTGAAAAGGATTGGGTTTATAGTATTTTCAATTTTATAATGAGTTTATAATATATAACTTTTCTATAACCTGTATCTGCTGTATTATTTTAATGCTTCTATCCTAATTGATGTGCCACTAAAAATCTGTTTTGCTATTAAACCATACTGAAAAGATATTATTTGTTGATGCCTTACCCTGGTGATGGGAAACGATAACTGCTTGGGAATAAACCTTCATCCTGTGGAATCATTATGTCTCTGATTCTCTTTGGTAAGAATTTCTTGACTCTTTGAAAAATACTCATTTTCTACCTATTTCTTTATAATGTTTTATTAAAAAATACTATATAGAGATACAAATGTAAAATTTAAAAATGAAAAAAAATTTAAAAAAAAAAATAAAAAAAAAAAAAAAAATTTATATAAATTATTTTTTTTTTTTTTTTTTTTTTTTTTTTTTTTAAATTTTTTTTCATTTAACAGAAGTTCTTTGTGATCCATTTTAAAGTTTAAACTATTTCTTTCTTTAAACTTTTATAAATAACAATTGTTTTATAAGCTAAAATTTAAATATAATCCAATTAAAATAATAGTTATTTGTAAACACCATAAATGTTTTTTTCCTTTTAAATTAAAAATGATAAAGGGTTCATACAAGTACAAAAAATAAATAATTAAAATAAAATAAATAAAATAATATAAAATAAAATAAATAAAAACTATTCAAAACAATTTAACAATCTATTATCCTTTCTATTACCTACATATAAAATAAAAAAAAATAAAAAAATAAAAAAATAATTTTTTTGGTTTTTTTAAATAAAATGGATCACAAAGATGTTATATATCTATCACCACCAACCTTCCAATTTCAAGCCTTTTTTTTTTTTTAATAAAATTGTTTGTGGTGTGTTGATGTATAAAAAAAACTTTAAAAAATAATTGTTTATAAAAAAAAAAATTTTAAAAAAAATTATATCCTTTTTTATTTTTATTTAAATATTAATAAATTTTCTTTTTTTAAATTAATTATTTTTTTTTTTTTTATATTATTTTTTTTATAAAATAATTAATATTTTTTTGTGTAGTTATATTTAAATTTCTCTTTATTTTATTTTAAAAATCAAAAAAAACAGTTATAATATTTTACTTTTTTTCCTTTTTTAACTTTTTTTAAAGAAAATCAATAAATAAACACAAATATATAATAAAACTATCCTTCTCTTTTCTTTAGAGTTCAAATTTTAAAAAATCAATAAATCTCATCTTTTTTTTTTAATTTTTTTTACTTGTTTTAATTTATAATCTGTTCATTTATTAATTTAGTTGTATGTATTTTTTAAAAAAAATTTAATAATTGTTTGTTTAAAATATAAAAAAAACAGTTTCAATACACAACAACTTTTTTTTTTATTTATTATTTATTAAATAGCAATAGTATTAATATTTTAAAAATAATTTTATACGTCTTTTTTTTCAAATATTGAATGTATGAAAAAAACACACAAAAATAAGATATATAACACCCACACTCACAAATACAATTATAAATACTCCACTCACACCAAAACATTTATTTATACACCCACACAAATTCAAAAAAACAAATAAACTGTATATTCCACCCATTTTGTATATTTATCCTATTATTACAAAAATACCATATAAAGTTATTTAATCATAAAAGTTTACATTTTTATTAAGATCACACAACACACACTTTTAAAAAAAAAAAGTATATATAAATACCATCATAATAATATCACATATGTATATACATATTAAATTACTTTTTTCATTTTTTTTTTTTATTTTTAAATTTGTTTAAAAAAATATAAAAAGAAATTTTTTTTGGTTTGTTCCTCAATCCTTTTCTTTTTTATTTGTTATAAAGATTGCTAAATTTAGATTGGAAATTATTTTTTTTAACAAAAAAAAAAAAAAAAATTAAAAAAAAAAAAAATTAAAAAAAAAATAAATTAATAATAAAAATAAAAAAAAAATAAAATAAAAAAGCTAATTTGTTTCGATTTTTTTTTTTTTCTTCTTTCAAATTAACAAACAAAAGATAAAACACATACAGAGATAATTAAAGTTATTCTCCCTCCTCTTTCTCTTTTTCGTTAATTTTTATTTTTATTTTTTTTTTTCGAATAAAGTAAAATTTATAATTTTATATTATAACATCACAATCAAAATTTTCACACACACCCAACTCAACCCCTTTCACACACACATTTATTTAATTTAAATATTATTTTTTAGCTAAATTTATTTTTATTTTTTAATTTAATTATTTTTTTTGTTTTTTAGTGTTTTTTATTTTTATTTTTATATACATATATTTGTAATATATTATTTGTGTTTTTAAAACAAATAATATAAAATAAAATATATTTATATATACAAGAGTTCTATAACAAAATAATAACAATCGTTTTTTGTTTTTTTTTAGAATTTTTATTTAAAAAAAAACCACCTAGATAGGCAACAAGTATCGATCAGTAATAATAATAATAATAAATAATAGTATAAAATTATTCGTAAAATAAAAAGATATGGAAGGATCAACTAAAATATTATTAAGTAACAATGGTCATCAACACAATATTGTTGGTATGAAAAGAAAATCAATGACACCAACTAACAACAACAATCACATGCTCTCAAACAATGGTAACATGATGTCCTCATATATGAATGGTAATGGAATGAACCATCACTCATATTCAAATGGAAACAACTCTTGGCCAACCATTGTATCAAATAATTCAAACCCAACAGGTAATATAACGCCAGTTGGTGTAGTAGTTCAATCCTGCTCAAAATGTGGAGGTAAAAAAAGACATTCGAAAACATGTATATATAGAAGAGAAGATGAAGGAGATGTAAGTCAAAACAACAATAGATGATAATTTTTTAAATTATTTAGTTATTAACAAAATTTAAATATATATAATAGGCTATAGTACCATCAAAAGATGTTATTCAAAGATTAGATGTCGCTGCATTAAAAAGATACAAAAAACATTATAGATTAAAAACAAAGCATAATTCATCAAAAGCAGAACTTGCCAGTATTGTTAGATCTCATTTCGATGGTTTACCAGTTAACGAAGGGGAAATTATCGAAAATTTTATGTTTAAAGTTAAAAATGTGCCAACAATTTAAACAATAAAATAAAATAAAAAAATTTTAAAAAATTTAAAAATCAAATATTAAATCCATATATAATTTTATTTATTTGTTTATTAAAATACGCGTAAAAGTGTTTATAAAATACGTAAATTTTACGAAAAACTAGCACCTTATTTTTTTAAAATTAAAAATTTGGATGAAAATTAATCAAAATCACCAAAAAAAAATCTATTATTTTATTTTTTTTTAAATTTTTTTTTTTTTTTTGTTTTTTTAAATTATTTTATTTTGTTTTATTTTTCAATCACAAATTAACATGATTTTTTTTTTAAAAATTTTTTTTTTTATAGTTTTTTTTTTTATGGACAAATATCTGCATATTTAATATGAGATACAAAAAAATTATGTGAAAATATCACTTAAAAATTTTTTTTTTTTTTTTTTTAAATTTTTTTTTAATAAGATATTAATAAACACAATACAACAAACAATAAAAAAATAAAAGAAATTTATAACATAGATTAATTGAATCTCTCAAATTTACTGATAATATATCTCCAATAATAAACCTTTACATCTTAATAATTCAGTAGTCTTCAGATACAATATTATAAAAAAAAACAAGTTTTCATATGATTGGGTCTTTGAAATGCGAGAGTGTGGTATATTTTATTTTTAAAAAATAGTTTTGATTGGTTTAAATAAATTTTTGGAATCATATTTTCTAAAATCAAAGAAAGAATGTCGCTAGCAATAATTAAAAAAAAAAAAAAAAAAAAGATATTTTTGTTCATGATTAAAAAAACAATTTAAAAAATTTTAAATAATTTTTTTTTTTATTTTGTTTTAAAAATAAAATTTTTTTTCTCTTACTGTAAGCAATTTTTTTTTTTTTTAGTTTGTTTATTTTTTATTTTCCAACAATCTATTTTTTCAAAATGAACCTTTTGGTGCCTTCTCCAGCAAGAAATTATTTTTATCAATCGTTTGTATCATATGCTCATAGCTTTTTATTCAAAAACTTTTTAACAAAGATCAAATATGGACATTTAATAGTTGATATAAAAGATACAAATTTTCCACAATATATTGGAACTCCTTCTTTCAAATATGGAGATGATAAAGGTGAAGTTAAAGCAAGAATACAGATTATAAATCTCTATAGATTTTTTTTTAAAGGTAATATTACATAGATCATATTTAAATAGTTTACAGATTAATAGTATTAATACAGTATTTATTAGTTTTATTTGGAGGAGATGTAGGCTTCTCTGAAAGTTTTATTTTAGGTGACTTTGTCTGTGATGACCTTAAAAATTTAATTACAAGTATGTTGAGAATATTTTTTTATTTGTTTTATTTCATACCACTTTTTTTTTCAGATATTTTTTTTTTAAAAATTTTGCTAACATTATAATTATTTTATTTTTTTTATTTTTTAGTTTTCATCCTAAATAGAAACGAATTAGATAATTTCAATACAAAATGGTCATTCGTAATGGATGGTGTAAATAGATTAGCACATTATTTACATAGAAATACTATTGAGGGATCAAAAGAAAATATTAAAGCTCATTACGATTTATCCAATGAAATGTTTTCATTGTTTTTAGATAAAACAATGAGCTATTCATGCGCATATTTTGACCATAGAGAACAGGATTTAGAGTCAGCTCAAATGAACAAAATTAGAAAGTTAATCGATAAAGCAAATCTTACACCAGACTGCGAGTTACTAGAAATAGGTTCGGGTTGGTTAGAGCTAGCAATCGAAGCTGTTAGACGTACTGGATGTCGTGTTACTACCGTTTCATTATCACAGCAGCAAATTTCTTATGGTTTAAAGAAGGTCGAGGAGGCAGGCCTATCAGATAGAATCACCATTCTCTATAAGGACTACCGTCATATTGAAGGCAAGTTTGACCGTATTATCAGTTGCGAAATGTTGGAGGCCGTAGGTTATGAAAACTATCCAAGTTATTTCCAAGCCCTAGAAAGATTATTAAAGCCAAACGGTATTTTTGTTGTTCAATTTATCACTTTTAAAGATCAAGATTTCCACGGCCTCATAAAGCGTTGCGACTTTATTCAAAAATATATTTTCCCAGGAGGTCTTTTGCCATCAATTACCTCTATCATGGAAGCAGCCACCAATCACTCCAACTTGGTCCTACAACATGCTGAAACATTCGGTACCCATTATGCAATTACTCTTGATATTTGGAAAAAGAACTTTTTTGAAAACAAAGATAAAATCCTTGCATTGGGATTCGACCAACAGTTCATTAATATGTTTGACTACTATTTTTGTTATTGTTCAGCCGCATTCGAAACCCGTACTATCAATTTAATCCAAATGCAATTCTCAAGACCCTGTAATGTAAATTTAAATGACTTCAAGAAATAATTTGTTTTAAACAATTTTTTTTATTATTCGATTTAATAATAGTTTCTCATATATTCACAAATCATTATTAGTTAAATAATCTTTTTTTCTTTTATAAATATAAAAAATAAATATATACATATATTGTAAAATAAATAAAAAAGGTTTTTTTTTTTTAGTTAATTACATGTTTTTTTAGTTTTATTTTGGTTTTTTATTTTAGTTTTAAATTTTACAACAATATTTAAATAGAGCATTACTTTTTTTTTTTTTTAATTTATTAACTTTAAAAAAAATTAATTATGTTTCTTTTATTATTATTATTATTATTTATTATTTATTATTTATTATTATATATTATTTTAAACTTCACCTCTTGCTAATTTATCCAACAAGTCCGATAAATCGTCATCTAAATCACCTGTTCCTGATGGGGATGTATAAGTATCTTCTTGATCTAAAACACTCATATCATAGCTTTGACTACTTGATTGTTGTTGAATTGATTGATCAGCTTGTTTAAGGAGATCATCAAAGTTAAAGGATTGAGCATTCATTAAGGACTCTAATTCTTCAAATGTAATTTCTTCGCTATCATCGAGTTGATTATTTTCTGTATTATTGTTATCATTGTTATCATTGTTATCATTATTATTATCTTCACAATATTCTATTTGTTCTTCTTGTTGGTGTTGCTCTGGTTCTTGAGGTTCTTCGTATTGATGTGCAGGTTCTTCGTAGTATTGCTCTTCAGCTTGATATTGATGTTCTGGTTCTTCTACTACCATTTCATATTGAACTGGTGGTTCAGGAGCAGACGGAGCATGCTCTCTTCTTGGTAATGGTGGTGGTTTGCTCTTTGGTGGTTGTGAAAGAACTTGTGGTTCTTCAGATACATGTTCTGTGTATGTATCTTCATAATGATTTTCAACTTGGGCATACTCCTGTGGTGGAAGTGAAACTGGTCTTTTAATTTGAACGGGTGTTGTTGGTTCTGATGGTGGTGGTGGAAGTACTGAAATATCAATTGGTGGGCAGGCATCTTGTGATGTTGAAAGAATTGGTGGTGGTGGTAATGCTGAGCCTGATGGTGGGTCAGATGGATTGGCAGTTGCTCTTGGTGGTGGTGATGGTGATTTTTTATATGTTTTTGGTGGTGGTATTGGTTTCTTTTCATTAGATTGATTTAAAAGAACACTTGATACTGGTGGTGGTGCACTAACACTACTATTTCTTGTTGGGCTAAGTGGTGTGGGTGGTGATGTGGAAGGTGGTGAATCATTTGTTGGTAATTGACGTCTAGCTGGTGGGGCAGGTTTATTTGGTGGGAGGGATCTGGCTGGCTGTGGTGGGCTTTGAAGAGGTGGTGGGGCACTTAGAACTGGGGGCGAAGCAATTGGTTGACGTTTAACAGGAGGTGGGGCAGGTTTAGTTGGTGGTGCTGATTTTGGTGGTGGTGTTGGTCTGGTAACAGTTTGAGGGGTATTATTATTATCGAATGTTTTTGGTGGTAATTTTGGTGGAGCCTTCTTTAAGAGATTTTGTGGTGGTGGAGGTAAATTGTTGCCACTACTTGATAGTGTTGGCGATAATGATGATAATGGTGGTGGAGGTAAATTATTTTCTTGAGAGGAAGAAAGAGCAGGTGGTGGAGGTAAATTGTGACCGCTTGATGAAAGGAATGATGGTGGTGGAGGTAAACCATTCTCTTGTGACGATGATAGTGGTGGTGGAGCTGCGGTAACACCACTTGCAATTTTTGGTGGTGGTTTTCTTTTTGCCATAATTGGTGGTGCAGGTTTTTTAACTTGAGTTGCTGGAACTGGTTTAGATTGAATGGTTGTAGCTGGTGGTGGTAAATCTCCAACGGATTGTGGTGGTTTTGCTGCAACTTTTCTTTGAGCTAATGGTGGGGGTTTCTTTGTTTGGGTTTGCTGTTGATTTTGTTGCATCATCATTGAAAGTCTTTGTTTGGTTTTTTCGGGTGAAGAGTCATGGAAATGCTTAATGATAATACCTAACATTCTCATCATTGTTTCTGGTCTAGTTTCCCATAGATCTTCACCAGTTATATTTACTAAATTAACACCAAGTACCTTGAGGAAACGTAAGATTATATTATTATTTTCAACAATTTGAATTTTAGTTGATGGGTTTCTATTAAAATTATTAATTGGAAAACCACTGAGACCTTCTAATAAAAGTGCTAAAATACAACCATCCTTTAAATCACCTTCTAAATTTTCGATTCTATCCGATTTTCCAAATTCTTCTAATTTTTTATTTATCCATTCAATAATTACTGTTTGTGATTGTTCTTTTCTGGGTGCTGATCTTAAAATTGGTTTCTATAAATACAAAATAATAGTTAATATAAATTAAAAAGAAATAATAGCATCTATATCTATAATATTATTCTTACATTATCAGGGTTATTTTTCTTTAATGCAAGTTCATTCATAAGTGCATTGGTTCCAAAACCCATCATTGGTGCTCTTGGTGCAGGTCTATCTTGTTCATCATCATGATTATTACTGAAATCGGTTGGATTTGGTGGTGGGTGTGAAGGTGGTCCTGATTCAATTGATATACTGGTTTTTGGTGTTGGAGGTGGTCTAGTTGGTGGTTTTACATTATTTGGTGGTGATAAGGTTGAACTAGATGTAGTGGTTGGTAAATTTACATCATCTCCCCATTTTACTGAATTTTTCTTCTTTTTAAAAACTAATCTAAATTTATCTAATTGACTGTCACCTTCCCATTTTTTATATATAACAGCTGGATTATCTCCTTCTGGAATTTCTTGACAATTAATTGCTGTATTATCATTATGATTATTAGATATCATTTTTTTTATTTAATTTAAAAAGTTAATATCATTTAAAAATTTTAAAATAATAAAATAAAAACAAAAATTTTATTTTAAAATAAAAAATTGATATTTAAAGAAAAAATAATTATAATTAAATATTTAAATACAAATTAAAAAAAAAAGAAGGTAGTGATAATATTATAATAATAATTGATAAATAACAATATTAATATTATAAATTTAATTATTATAATAATTATAATTTAAAATATTATTGAAAAATTAAAAATAACAATAGCAAAAATAACAATATTTAACTTTAGTGTTGTGTGATGTTTAAAATAACAATAATTTATAAAATTTTATGTGTGGTTTAGATATTTTTATTATTATTATTATTATTATTATTATTATTATTATTATTATTATTATTATTATTATTATTATTATTATTATTATTATTATTATTATTATTATTATTATTATTATTATTATTAATAAAATAAAATGATAATGATATGATATTGGTGATACTTACAATTTGTTTCTCTTGATGCAGTATATAATAGTAAACCATTGGTTTTAGTAAAGGTTACTTTTTGGAGAATTGTTTCAATTACCTGTTTAGTTGTGTCATCCTCGTTTACTCTCATTGATTTATAACTACCATCTGCAAAAAAAACTTTAATTACAACATCCTAAATAAAATTAAAAAAAAAAAATTAATAAATGTACTTTAAATCATTTATCAAAAAAATATATTCAATATATGTGTGATGTAAATAATAATAGAATAATAAAATGTTTAATGTAACATTCCACAAAACATGCATTTGATTTAAAAATAATGGTTATTTATTGTTTATTATTATTATTATTATTATTATTATTATTATTATTATTATTATTATTATTATTATTATTATTATTATTATTGTCTTTATTTAAAGTCTTTATTAATTTAAATATTTTGATCAAAGAGTAGATTAATCTACCTTAGGGGTTTGTTGTTGGGTATTGTTTTTTTTTTTTTCTGCTTTCTTTTTTGACTAATTTACTTTCGTTATTATTTAAATATTTTTATGTCTACAATAATAAATACTAATATATAATATATTGATGATTCTGATAAAACAAAAGATAACAAAAACGATAATGATACACTTACAGTTGCACCCATTTTTATTTGTTTGGTTATTTATTTGTTTGTTTGTTTGTTTGTTTGTTTGTTTGTTTGAAAATACAAAATTATAAAGTAGTAATTTAAAATATAAAGAGGTTATAGTATTTATAGTTTTTTATTATTGTTATTTATTTGTATAGTGGGTATGCTATTTAAATAAATTATGTTATTGTTAAAAATTACAAATTAAAAAAAAAAATAAAATAAAAAAAAAAAAATAAACAAATAATTTAGCTTTGTTGTTGTTTTAATATAATAATAAAGAAAAAAAAGAAAAAAAAAAAAATTTATTTGTTGTTGTGTATATTTAGCGTGTGTTAATTCAATCTTTTTTTTTGTTTTTTTTTTTTGGTGTGTGATGTTATATATATGTTGTGTATGTGTGTTGGTGTGTGAATTATGTTAATGTGTGAGTTAGTGGTAAATCTAATTATAATTATATAAATATAGAGTGTGTGATTTTGTGGTGTGAAATTATATTTTATACAACAAAATAAATAAATAAATAAATAAATAAATAGAATAAATATAGAAATTGATTATATTTTTATAGAAAAATGTATTTGTGATGATGTTTGGTGATTATTTCCTATTTTTCACAAACTGGTAAAGTTTATCTTTTTTGAAATATTCGTCTTTTTTAAAGTGAAACCTATGCAATAAAACAAACTGTAATTGAAAAAAAGAAAAAAAAAGAAAAAAAAAAAAAATGGTGTATTTTTTTATAAACCAAAATTATTTAATTATAATTTTATGATAAAAAAAAAAAAAGCTGTTGGTTTGAAAGATGACCTTTTATCACAATGAATCAAAAAAAAAAATAACAAAAAATAATAAAGAAAATAAGATTTTGAGATGATTTTTCAAATAAAACAATTTTTTTATTGTTTTTTAAAAAAAAAAATTTTATTTTTTATTTTTTTTTATTTTTTATTTTTTTTTATTTTTTTTTAAAATTTTTTTTTTAAAAGCGATTGATTTTGGGTGATATCCATAAAATCATGATATTGCTTTTTAATTACATATTATAACTTAATAGACAACAATGTCATACCTGGATGTTTAAAAATATATCACTTCATTTAAATTCCCTAATTTAAATAAAATTAATTTCTAAATTTAGATAAAAATTTAGTTTTAAAATATTATCCCCTTTTTTATTTTGTTCAATAAAATATAAATCAACAAAAAAAAAAAATTTATAGTTAATGGACCAAATTTGGATAGATCTACCCTATAGGTTTATCTTGATTAGCTGTATGTTTGGGTGGGTTAAAAAAACAAAAGTGGGAAAAAACAAAGGGAGTTGGAGATACTATGAACAGTATACTTTTATTAAAAATCAATTTTTATAGTTACAATTAAATTTCAATACAGATTGGGGAATTTTTTGAACAAAATTGAATTTAAAAAGGAATTATAAAAATAAAACTCGAATTGTTTTATTTAAATTCCATTTATTGGAAATATGTGTTTTCTTGTTTACCCTCCAAAAAAAAATTTTTTTAATTTTTTTTTTTAAATTTTTTATTTTTATTTTTTATTTTTTTTTAAATTTTTCATTTTTTATTTTTCAAACCAATAAAATAATACAATAAAAAAATAACATCATAATATTATTAATATTAATATAGTATAATATAAAAAAATGGCAGATATCCAACAAGCTCCTCAAGTCTGTTTAAGAGTTAACGGCGAAATATTTAATTCCGTTTTACAACTTGGTGTTACAATTCACAGAGTTGTATGTGTTGGTAATGTTTTATCAATTAAAGGAGACGAAGTCACTATTTCAATCCCAAATGGTAGTGAATTATCAACAGAATTTAAATTCAGAAAAGAACCATCATGCTCTCTCGTCGCCAACGAAAATACTTATCAATTTTCAATTAAAATAGACAATCAAAATTTGGGAGATTCAATTATCGAATATGCTCAAGATTTTGGTACTAATTTTGGTAACTATTAACCTTTATTTATTCAAATTAATAAAGGTTTTATTATAATTTAGTTTATTGACAATATTTTAATTATTTTTTTATTTATTTATTAAAGTAATGTACAGTTATTCAACTTCATTTTTCAATTATTGGTACATTCTCAAGGATAGATACCCACAACTCAAAGGATCAGAAGAAACAGAAGAAACAGGAGAAATGGACACACAATAAAACAAATTTAATCATTTTTTAATCATTTTTTACACAACATTCTTGTATATAATAAATATAAATAGTTTTTATAATTTACAGCTATAGAAATTAAATAAATAAACCCAAAAAAAAAAAAGAAAATAACAATATTTATTTATTTTATTTTATTTTTATTTTAATTTAAAATTTTTTTAATTTTTTTAGAAAAAAAAATTTTCATTTTTTTTTCCCAGATTATTTATAATTAAAAATACTTCAATATAGCATTACAGATAATTTTAAAATATGGATATTAATAATATTGATAATAGTAATAATATGGATAGTAATAATAAAAATAGTGATTATAAGTTTAACCAAATTCTATTCGACGAAATATCAACAATCATTTTCGATGTTTTAAAAGAAAATATTAATACAGATAGTGAAGCATCCAACACAAATAACAACTTCATTATAAATAAAGAATTATTAAATAAATTATTAGAAGATGACCAAATCAGTGATGATGATGTATTTTTTAATAATGAGCCAAATGTAAATATAGGTGGAATATATTAATTATTAATAAAATACCAATAAAAACTTTATATTTGATTATATAGTGTAAAGATATTTTTAATTATAAAAATCCAGAGTTGTTTTTTGATCAATTATCAAATGGAGGTTTTTATTATCCACCAAAACCATTTTATAAACATATTGGATTGGTATTACATAGCTGGGCAACAATTAAAAGATTTCCAATACAATTTCAACCATTGTACGGTTTAAATGAAGTAAAAAAAAGTGAACAAGAAAAAAATAATATTTATTTGGATGATAGTGGCAGCAGCGATAATAGTAACAGTGATAATGGTAATACTGATAATAGTAATAACACTAATAATGACAATAATGGTAATAAAGAAGAAAAAAATGATAATGAAGATAGTCAAAAAAATGAAATGGTTTATTTTGAAAATTTAAGTGATTCGGTTGTAGATTTTATAAATAATAAATGGGGTAATGGTAGTAAAGAAGAAAAAAAGGAATTTATTTTAAACTTTTTTAAAAATTTAACAAATAGAAATTTACTTACATTATTTAGCATTAGAAAAACTAAATTATCATTGGATACTGTGTTATTACCAGGACCCATTCAATTAATAAAATCAAGTAATTTATTGAATATTCCAGGTTCAAATTCAAAATTGACAGTCTCTTCGAAAGCTTTATCAAAGCATTCAATTAGATCAAAAGATTCATTTTGGGGTAGCGATAAAGGTCCTGAACTAGTTAAAAATAAACGTTCCGAATCTGTATTAATAAAAATTTTAGCAGAGCCTGCATGGATAAATATACATTTATTACCAGTAAGTTTTATTTTTATTAATAAAGGTAGTTAATATTAATAATATTAACAAACATTTAAAATAGCATAATATACAAATTATAGAAATTAGAAATATTCAAGGTTATGGATTACGTTGGTCTGCTGATGGTACATTTTTTAGAGGCTTTTTAGAGCCACAAATGGAAGGTGGGCACGAAGTTGGTTGGAAGCATTAATAAGCATCTTTTACAATGTTGCTTCGCTCTATCAGTATTTTGTACAATTTAAAACAATGTTAATAAAATTAAAATAAAACTATAAAATCTATAGTTATAGTGAAAATATTTCTTTTTTTACAAAAAATAATGAATACTTTTATTAAAAATAAAATTATTAAATTAAAATGGTTTAATGGTGTAAAACCATAAAAAGAGTTTAGGCTTTAACTGGTTCAACAAGTGGGTTTGAGATTGGAGTGGTTTTAAGTTTTTCTTTGGTATCATCGATTATTTTGTTTTCTTTTTCTAATTCTGCCTCAAGTTGTGCAGTACACTCTTGAACAATCTTTTTGGCTTCATCTCTTGTTGGAAGGTTTTTCATTACTTCATCAAAGTTACCCTTTATGCTAATGATTGCGGTAGCAGCGGTTTGATTGACAAAGGCTAAAGCTAACCAACTCATACCTGATTTTTTAATTTCATTTTGGAAATCAACTAATTCGTCTATATATAGTTAGTTTAATAAAATAGGTTAATATTAATAGTCAATGGAATATTAGTATAAAAAAAAATAACAAAATATTTACCTGGATCTTCTTCAGCTAATTCTTTCATATCTTGAATAGCAGAAATCTTTGAAAGACGTTTGCAATGGTCTTCAACCTATTATAGTTATATTAAATAAAATTTTATTAGTAATTTGACAACTATTGAAAAAAATTTATATATACATACTTGTAACCAAAAGAGTCTTGTGTTTTCAAAGACTGTCTTAACTTTACCCATGGTATTAATTACAATTTCTAATGATTTAATACTAACTTCTAAATGATTTTCTTCTTTTGAAAGATTTTGAAGTTCTTTTAAGTTCTTTGCTAATGTAGCATTGGCAGTTCTGTATATTAAATATATAATTAGTTTTAAGAAAATAATTAGTGCAAAATATTCTTTAGTTTTAATTACCTTTGTAAATCTTGGTATGAATTTTTTAATTTTCTATATTCCATTTCACGATCTTGAGATTTTGCAGCATTTTCTTTCATTTCGGTAGCAATTTCATTTGATACATTGGCAATATTGGTACCAAGTTTTTCAATTGCACCTTTAATGTCATCAATTTGCTCTTTTAAGAGTTTCTTTTTTTTCTTTTCATCTTCTGTAATGGTACCATCCTTTTCTTTTGTTTCAAGTTTCTTTTCTTCTTCTTCCTATATAGATTAAAATTTATTTTTTTATTAGTATTTATTTTTTTTAATTTATATAAAATATTCTTTATACTTTTTTCTCTAATTCCTCTTCTTTTTCTTTCTTTTCTTTCTTTAATTTTTTTTGTTTCTTTGTTACTTTGGTAGCAGCATCATCCTTTGGATCTTCTTTGGTATCATCACCTTTGACACCATTAACAAGTTTCTTAATGGCACCTGTTGGTGGGGCACCACTATATGCAGCAATCATTGGACCAGCAAGCTTGTGTTTTTTAAAAAAAAAGGTTAATATTTTTTAGGGTCAATAAATTATTAAGAATGAGTAACTTACTTGTGAAAGTGGTTCAGCAACAGCTCCAATTATTCTAACGATATAGGACATTTTACGATCTTCAGCAGCTTCTTTACCAGCCTTGTCAGCTAATTCTTTCATTTCATCAATCTATAAAATTAAAAATATTAATACAAGATAACTAAGTTTACATTAAAATATACTATTCTTACTTGTCCCTTTAAAGATTCAATTTCACTTTTAAGACCCTCAGCAGCAGCATTTAATTCAGCTTGTTTCTTTTCATTTGCTTTTAATTCGTCGACAGATTTGACATGGTCACTTGTGGCGGTTTTTAAAGCATCCATTGATAATTTTACTAGATTCTCAGCTTTTTTAACTAACTCTTCTGATTTTAAGGCCATTTCTTTAGCTTTTTCAGCGGCTCTACCAATGATTTCAATTGATTTTGCAAGTTTATTTTTTTCTGAAAATTTAAGAGCAAATTTGTAGAATTTAATACAATCAATACAGTTCATTACAAAAGTTGAGGTTGTATTAACTGTATCATTGATCATTGTTTGGTAACTACCGAGAATTTCAATGATAGGTACACTGCTTGGAAAGCCTTTTGAAGCAGCATTGGCAATTTTTAAGAGGTCACTATATTATAAAAGAATTAATTTAGAATGAAATCATTTAAAAAATAAATACATAATTATATAATACATACCCTACAGTTGCTAATTGTTTCATAGCCTCGGATACATTGATAGTTACATAGGTTTTAAGGTTACTCTCAACAATAGTTTCTACAGTTTTGTTTTCCTTTACAGCTACTTTGATATCATCCCAGTTTTCAACATCAGAGAAATAGGCAAGTGGTTGTGTTTTTTTTGAAACAGACATTAGGTATTATATATATTATGAAATAAAAAAAATTATTTGTTTGTTGTTTGAAATGAAGTGAATAAAAAAAAAATAAAAAAAATTTTTTTTATTGTTTATAAATAATTAAAAAAAAAAATAATTCAAAATAAAAAAATATAAAAATTAAAAGATAAGATTGTTTTTATTGTAAATAATTGAAAATCTTTGACAATTTACATTAAAATTTTCATTTGGGGGGAACAGTTTTTTATAACCAATCAAGATTGTGTGTGAGTTTTATTGTATTTCCCTGTTATTATGAAACAGTATGTATGAATGTAGGAAAAAAAATTTTATTTTTTTATTTTTTTTTTTGTGTGTTCACCCTTTTTTTTTTTGTGGGTTTTTTACAAAAAAACTGCTTTTTTTTTTTTTTAATTAATAAAATCAAAAAAAAAAAAAAATTTCTTTTTTTATTTTTTTTTAAATTAAAAATATACAAATTTAATTTTACAATAATAATAATAATAATAAAAATGGGGTATATTAAATCTTTGCAACCAAACAACAAAAGAAAAATATTTTTGAGTAAAGAAAAAAAATAAATGAAATAATTTGGAAAGTTAAATCAATTTACAACGAATCATCAATAATGAAAAAAAAATCCAAACAGTTTAAAAAAGATATTAAATAAGAGTTATTGTCAGTTGGAAAGTTTAAAACAAAATTAGAATTTACTAATGTACAGATCTATTAGATAAGATAAAAGTAAATATGGAGTTTGATAAATTCTTTTATTAAGAAAAAGAAATAAAAAAGTGGATAAAAAATATATACACCAAATATAGAAGAAGTCCGAGCAGTTTTATTAACCCAACATCTCAATTATATAAATATAATCATTTATATTTTCATATAAATATTTATCATGTACCATAAAAAGCTCATTATAATAATAATATCTTTTTTTTTTTGTAAAATATTAAAAATCGGTGCGTGGGTGTTAAAGATCTTATCATATCCTTTTAAACTGTTTGTACAGATAATTTTTATTAAATTAAAATAATATATGAATCAGTTTTTTATATAAATAAAAATTATTTTATGTTTTATTATTTATATATTAATATTTAATTAAACATGTCAGGTGAAGAAAAAAAGAAACAATTAATTTCATTTTTAAATAATGCACTCAGTGTTATTTCTGAGGAAATTAACGTAACCAATAGGGATATTGAAGTTTGCATTAAAAAAATTGAAATGGTTTCAGATGAATTAAAAAGAAATACACAAACTATTGTATATATTCAAAAACAAAAAGATGATCTTAAACAACTATTGGGCCACTTAGATGCAGGAAGAGAAAAAGAAGAATATATCATTAGATCAACTTTCGAAGAAATGAAAAGGGGCAGAAAAGAACTTGAATTTTTGGTTGAAAGAATCAATGCACAAAAAAGACTTATTGATGAACTAGGAAGCTTGAACCCAATGGTAGTACTTGCCATGGAGGTCTACAATAAACTTACTCATCAATTTGATAATTTAAAAAAACATGTTGAATTTATAGAAGAAAGAATGGAAAGTTTAAGAAGATCATTAGATATATCAGCTCAAAAAGACAGAGAATTAAATGAAAACATTGATAAAATTTCAAGAAAAATCTACGATCTTGAAAAGTTCCAAACTGAATGTGAAGCAAATATCAAATCTTTAGGTATTGAACATACAAAAATTGAAGATATGCGTTTATCTCTAAAAAATTTCAAAAGTCGTTGTGAAAGTTTATTAGAAACCATAAAAATGAATATTGAATTCAAAGATGAAATGCTCAACACTCAACAAGAGATTATAAATGATATCAAAAAGGCATATTCAAAATATGGAAAAGATCTACCAAAAGGTTTATTAAATTAAATAAATAAAATAATAAATAAATAATTATTTCTATTTTTTATTTTAAAATTTAAATTTTATTTAAAACTATATCTTTTTTTTGGGAATTAATATTTTTTTTATAAAATAAACCTTTTATCATCTTCACCATAGATCTCGCCAAAAGAGATTTTTAAACAGTTTGCTGTTTAAAAAAAACCTTTAATATTTTTTTTTTTTTTTAATTTTATTTTAATTTAATTTGGTATTTTTAAATACACAATAATTTTTTTTTTTTTTTTTTTTTTTTTTTTTATTTAAAAAATAAACAAATTTTATATTTTTAAATTAATTATATTAAAAAAAAAATGACATCAACCATACAACAAACTTATTTATTTCTAGAAAAAATATTACCAATTATCAAAAATGAAATTGGAAATGTAGATAAAGAAATTACACTTCAAAAAGAAAAAATTGATAATATATCAAAATTATTAAAAGAACTAACATCAAATATAGTTGAATTGGAAGAACAAGAGCAGCAATTTCAAAATAACTTAAATCAATACTCTGAACAAAAGGCACAAGATGAATCAACTTTAAAGGATCTCCAAGATGAAATTGATAAAAGTAGTAAAGAAGCTGCAAGACTTCAAGCTGAAATTGATAAATATCAAAAGATGTTGGATGAAATGGCAGAGCTTGACCCATTGGCTGCAGAAATAACAAGTTTAGTCGAAAAGATCAAAGGTGATTTCGACCAGGTAACAAATAAAATTAATGCATTAAATGAAAATATTAAAACTTTAAATGCCTCATTAGAAAAAACTCAAGCAGATGAAGATGCATTAAATCAAAAAATTGAGGTAGCCACTGCACATAAGATCCAACTACTCAACCTTCAAGATGAAAAAAATCAAAATATTAAACAATTGGGTGTAGATAGAACTAATGCTGAAAACTATAGACTTGATTTAATGAATCTTAGGGATAAATTAGAAGATATTTCAAAAAGTATAGAGCTAGGAAAAGAATTTAAAGATGATTCTTTGGTTTCAAAAGAAGAAATCGAAAAGGAAATAAAAGCTCTATACATAAAACATAATAGAAATGTACCAAATGGTTTATTGAATTAAATTAAATAAAAAAATTTTATTTTTCTTTTTCTTAAAAAAAAAAAAAAACTTAAAATTTTTATTCTTTATTTTTTTTATAATTTTTTTTTATAAAATAAAAAAAAAAAACTTAATTTGAAGAAAAAAAAGAAATTTTAAAATTTTTCTTAAGTATTTAAGAGACTTAAAATTTATAAACTTAAAAAAAAATTGTCCTAAACCATTCATTTTTAAAAAAAAAGAAAAGGATAGAAAAAAAAAAAAAAATTTATAAACACTAATTATTTATTTGTAGAAATATGGGTAATTTATATTTTTTTTTTTTTTTTTAAAAATTAGTAATTAATTTTTTTTGATTATATTTTTTAACAGAAATATTATATGATGATATAAAACATTATAATGAAGACCTTTTAGAATGTAGTAGTGTCAGTAGCAACAGCGACTCAGAAGATCAGCATCATCAAAAAGAAATAAATATTTTAATAATTGGAGGTGTTGGAGTTGGTAAATCTACGTTTATAAGCTCCATATTAAACTACATATCATTTGAAAATTTAAACGATGCAATTGAAAATGGAACACTAGAAAATTTATGCCCTATACCTACAAATATTAAAATAATGGATTCAAATTATATCCAACATGATTTTAATGCAGGAAAACCACTTCAACAACAACAGAAACCAAATGAAAAAGCAAATAATGGCGAAACAAGTACAAAAGAATGCAAACAGTATAAAATTAAATTACCAAATAATACCATAAACTTCTATGATACCCCTGGTATTGGTGATATTAGAGGCTCAAATACAGATTCAAAAAACTTCGAAATGATTTTAGAACAAATTTCGAAAATTAAAAAACTTCACGGTGTATTTTTATTACTTAACCCGGACGAATTAAGATCGACGGTTCTTTTCAAATACTTTATATTTGAATTATTTACCCGTCTTCACGAGAGCGCCAAAAAGAACCTTTATTTCTGTTTTACAAAAACTCGTGGTAAAATGTATCGACCCTCCAATGGATTGATTGTACTTAATAAACAATTGAAAGAAATGTACACAAAAACAAATATAAATATATCAACTGAAGGAAGAGTATTTTGCTTTGATAATGAATCATTCTCATTTTTAATGGCCAATAAATTCAACAATGCTCACTTTGATCAAGATGAAGTAACCATCTTTTCACAATCATGGGATAAATCATCAAAAGAAACAGCCAAACTATTAGAAAGAGTTACAAATCAAGAGGGATATTGTGTAAAAGATACCATTTGTATTAATAGTGCATATAATGTAGCAAGTAATCTAAGAGGTCCAATCATTCAATGTTTAGAAGCCACCCAAATTCCAATAAAAAAAATAGATTCGAAAAATAGAAAACTTGGTGAAAATCATGACAATATAGAAATATTAAAAAAAAAATTACTATCAAATATCTCAAGCTTTGAAATTGTACCATTAGAAAAACCTTTCTTATTTTGTGGTAATAAGAAATGCTGTAAATCTTACACCACAAAAGACACACCCACTGGCAAAATCAAAATTAAAGGTTGTGTATGCTCCTTCAATAACCATCCAAATGAATGTTTTGACATTTCATCTAAAGTTTATTGGCGTAAAAATATATCAATCTTGGGTTATTGCTATAATTGTGGATGCTCATATAAAGATCACATTATTTTAAATATAGCTAAAGTCAAACAAATTCAAAATAATAGCAACAATATAGAACCGATCAACAATAATAATGAAGAAGAAATAGAAGAAATAATGAAAATGGAAAATAAAGAGAAATTGATAGATTTAATAAATATTAAAATTTTAAATAATATAAAAGAAAAAGAAGAATATGAAAATGATTTTAAATTTATTTTAAATTCATTGCTAAAGATTTCAATTTTTAAATGGCACTACTCACTGGATAAATCAAACAATCACGAATTTAAAGATTATATTGAAAAAGAAATTCAAATCAAAGAAAATCAACTATCTCTTATTCCATTATCAACACAATTTAATATAGAAATAATCAAAATGCTCAAAGATAGTTTAAAAGAATATAAACATTGTGTTAAACAAATAAAAAACTCGATAGATTTCAGTGCAATACCTTCATCAAACGAAATTTTTGATATTTTTTCAAAATTACCACATTTAAATAAAATGGGGTCGTTCATATCAAAATCTATAAATAACCAAAAAAATGAGCAACAACAAAAGTACCATCAACAAAGAGAACAACAAAATTTAGATGCCATTAGAATCGAGAAAATTGGAAATCATTATTTTTTTTTAATAAAATAAATAAAACGAAACTTTATTTTCCCATTTTTAGTCTTAACTAATTCAAATAAATAATGAGAAAAAAATCATAATTTAAATAACGAAAAAATTTTATTTTATTTTTTTCAAAATTTTTTTTTTTTTTTTTTTAAAATTTTGGAATAAAACTTTTTATAATTTTATGAATATTAAGATTAATAAACACACCACATAAATAATAACATGTCACACGAATTAATTATTGGTTGTGTTGGTAAACCATCAGCAGGTAAAAGTTCGTTTTTAAATGCAGCAACAGACTCACAAGCTAAAGTAGGAAATTACCCATTCACAACTATCGAACCAAACTATGGTGTAACTTATTATCCAACAGAATGTCCATGTAAGAAATATGATAAAATAGATGCCTGTTCACCAAGATATGGCCGTTGTGATAAAGGTACAAGATATATACCTGTTAAAATGTTGGATGTAGCAGGTTTAGTACCAGGTGCCTCAGAAGGAAAAGGTTTAGGAAATCAATTTTTAGATGATCTTCGTCATGCACACGTTTTACTTCATGTTGTTGATGTTAGTGGTAATACAAATGAAAAAGGTGAAGAAACTACAGGTTACGATCCAATTAACGATATTCAGTGGTTAAAAGATGAAATCCATGCATGGATCTTTAATAATCTTTGGAAGAGATGGGGTAATATAATAAGAAAGCAGCAATCAACTAAAAGTCAAGCCGATCAAATGCTTCAAAAGAAACTTTCAGGTTATGGTACAAAAATAGTGTTGGTTAAAAGAGCATTAGATAACATTGATCAAAGAGAACCTATTAATCTTTCATTATGGGATAAAGACATGTTACATAAATTTGTAGACTCATTTTTAGATATTCGTTTCCCAACTGTTTTAGTATTAAATAAAGTAGATCAATCAACATCAGATTTGAACATCTCAAGAATATGTGAACGTTACCCAGACTATGCAATGATACCTAGCAGCGCTTTAGCAGAATGTTTCTTAAGAAAAATGAAATCACAAAACTATATCGAATATGTCGAAGGCGAAGATAACTTTAATACACATTTAGAAAACGATAAATTAAAACAATGCGATGATAAGCTTCAAGCAAGATTAGAAAAACTTAGAGATTTGGTTTTATTTAGATATGGTGGCACAGGTATTCAATTAGCCGTTAAAACTGCTGTAGAATTAAAGAAGTTTATACCCGTTTATCCAGTTAAAAATTTAAAGAGTTTAGCATGCGACAAAAGCGGTGGTTCTGTATTAAGAGATTGTATGTTGGTTCCAAAAGGAACTGAAGTACGTGAATTTGCTGGTATGCTCCATCCAGATTTAGAAAAATACTATTTATATGCAGAAGGTATCAATGGTCAACGTTTAGGGGAAAGTGATGAAATATCCGAATCAAATAATATTATTAAATATACTACTGCCGCTCTAGAAAGTAAAGAAAAAGAAAATGATGAAAAATAATAACAATGTAATAAATTAAATAAATAAAAGTAATGTGTATATTTTAATATTCTAAATTTAAAAAATGAATATAATTTTATTATAAATTAAATTAAAGTTTTAAATGTTTATATAAATTAAATATATTTAAAAATTATTATTATTAAATTATTATTATTATTTAAAAACACTATTTATTATTATGATCCATAATAAATTGATTTGTTTATTGTTTAAATGTAATCAGTAAAACTAGATGGATTTTGAATAACTTTTCTTGGGGTTCTAGATTTACCAGTAGCTTGATAAGATGATACTGTTGAGTTTCTTGAAGATGATGAGGATAATCTAGTTGATGATGATAATGAACTTGATAATTTCGATGGTGTTGTAATATTGGTTGATGATTGTCTTTTACCAAAAGTATTTGATGGTGTGTTAATTGATGATGGTCTTTTAACAACTTTATTTGGTGTTGAGATACCGGATGGTTGTTGAAGTGATTTCATTAAATTGTTACCACTATTCGAGGTTGCTAATGATAATAATGATGATGATGATAATGATTTAGTTGGAGTTACAATATCACGTGATTTAGTTGGTGAATGCATAGATGATGAACGGTTAAGTGGTGAAAGTGAAGCATTTGATTGAATTGGAACTGATAATGGTGCTTCGTTATCCATTGCGCTATCGTTTAATTTCTTTTGTAAATCCATCATTGAAACGAAATTTTCAATTCTTTCTTTATATTTCATGATCTCTCTATTCTTATCATCGAGCTTATTCTTATAAATTGCTGAATCGAGTATCTGTTGTTCAAGTTGTTCTTTATAGTAAATAACCATTGATTGGCATTCATGGATCTCTTTTTTATAGCTTTCAACCTTTTCTAAATGTTTTCTATTATCCTCACGAAGATCTTGACCATATTGTTCAGCTTCGCATAAATCCTTTTCAAGTTCTTCTTTTTCATCTTCTAACTCTTCAATCTTTTCTTTTAATTTTTCAATTAATAAATTCTTTTCTTCTTCATCATAATCTGATGATTCATATTCTGACTCTTCTTCTTCTTTATCCTTCATGGCCTTATCTTTTTGTTCTGTTTCTAATTCGGTGTTATCATCTTCCTCTTCCTCACTTTCATTGTCTGATGATGACGATTCCATTTGATCTCTTTCAATTATACTTTCTTGTTCATCGGCAACCTCTTTATTAGCTTCTTTTTCCTTTTGTTTGTTTTCTTTTTCTTGTTGCTCTTGAATTAATTGTTGAAGTTTTGAATCTTGTTCATTAATAATATCCATTAATGAGCATGTGTCAATACTGTATTGTTGTTTTAAAAGTTGAAGTTGTTGTTTAAGTGTGTTATTTTCTACCTCTGTAATTTCTAGTTTTTCTTCGAGACTTGAAATTTTATTTCTATAAACCTCGACAGTTTCTCTAAGCTTTTGTGCCATCTCACCAATTTTGCTAGGTGTGGTCGAATTGCTACCAATATTGCCACTACTATTGTTACCATCGTTGGACTTCATTAAATCGTGGAGTCTCATTGGAGAATCTTTGCTTGGAGACTTTGGAATAATAGTTTGAATTGATTTAATTGGTGTACCATGATATTTAGTTGGTTGTTGTTCAATAATGTTTTCTTTATTTTGATTTTCTTTATTTTCTTCTTGTTCTTGTTCTCCGTGCTCCTCTTTTACTTCTTGTTCTTTTTCTTCTTGTTCTTTTTCTTCCCTTAACTGAGATTCCCTTTCTTCTTGTTCTTTCTTTTGCTGCTTCTTTTGAATTGATAACCTTTTAGCTGCTGATATTTGTTGTGATTGAGAAGAGTTAATAACTGTTACTGGTGTTGTAACTGTGCTGGTGGCTTTCTTTGGTGATACTTTTTTAAGTGCAGTTGCAGCTGTTGTTCTATTGAGTGTATTTGTAGTTGGTTTATTTTTATTTGATAATTGTTCATAGAATGATCTTAATGATTTAACTTCAATTGATGAATTAACTGGATCACTACTTGGGGCAGTTGGGGCTCTTTTATTTAATGTATCTAAAGCTCTAAATGAATTATCTTTAACCATTGTTGGAATTGATGTTGTTGTTGATGTTGATGTTGATGATGGTGATGTCGATGTCGATGTTGGCTTGCTGATCTTATTAAAATGTTGGGCTTTAACTGGTGAAGTTACTGTTTTTTTAACACTACCTGATACACTTTATAAAAAAAAAAGTAAAGATTTAATATATATATATGAAATTTTATTAATTTAGTTTAATTGACTATTACCTATCGATTCTCATTTTAATACAAATAAAAATTAAAGTAAGTATATGAATATATACTTTTTAAAAAAAAATGATGATTATAAAAAAGATACAAATAAAATTCACACAAACTATAACACAAAAATTAATAACACAATTATAAAAAAAATAAAAAAAAAAAACAAATGATACGAAAATAAAGCAATTATTATAATAGCAATATAAAAATTGGGTTGTAATTAAAAAATATAAAAAAAATAAAAATAAAAAAAAAAATTTTCAATTTTAAATTTTGAGAGGGAAAAATGCTGAATTTCTATTTTAAAGAAATAATTTCCATAAAAAAAAAAAAATAAAAAATAGTTGGATATCCATCGATATTATTTTTAAAATAATTGATTTATTTATTTATTTTATTATGTACAAAAAAGTTTGATTCGTTTATTTTTAAATAAAGCTATGTTTATGTAACTTTATATATAAAAAAAGTGTGTCTATAGTAGTGGTATATTATTATTATTTTGATTATTATTATTATTATTATTTATTTATTATTATTTATTAAATTATGAATTTTCTATTTTAATCTCTTGACATAAAGTGATCCATAATCATACCAAATACAGCAAAACCAACACATCCACCTGCAGCAGCAACTGGACCAGCTATTATGTTGAATTTAAATAATTAGTATTGAGTTATTATAAAGTAATGATAACGATTAAATATTTACCTCTGCCAGCAAAAACTGCACCAGTTGTGCAACCAGCATAAATTGGATTTAATTTGTCTGTTCTTCCTCTTGCTTTTTCGATAGCACATTCTGTACCAGTGTAAACTAATGTAATGACAGATAAACTTTTAGCACTTCTTACACCATTTCTACCTTGTTCTTTAAAACCATCGATAACTTGTCTCCAAATTGGTGTTGGAGTGGTTGGTTCTGGATTGAAACCTGAATTTGGTGTAAATAATGCACCAAAAAAGAAACCAAAACCAGCACCCATTACCAAACCTCTGACACCATGTACGATACAATTGTCCATAATTTTAAATTGCATTTCATCGTATGGTGGAATAGGTCTTATATTTGGTAAGAATGTTGCTCTATTACTTTCGTTCATAAATCTATGAGCATTTTCTGAAATTAATTTCTTTAACTCTTCATCTGAAATATTCATTCTATTTTAAATATATATATACATAAATAAATAAACGAAAATAAGTTGTATTAAAAAAAAAACGAAACAAATCAAATAAATGAAAAATAATAAATATTTATTAAAAAAAAAAAAAAAAAATTTTAAAAAACGAAAAAAAAATTAAAAAATTAAAAAAATAAAAAATTTTAAAAAAAATAATTTAATACAAAAAAATTAAATGATTTTGCAAATTATTACATCACAAATTATAATTAGATAAAATATATTTTTTTTTTTGTGTTTGATTTTATTTATAATAATACTTACCAAAAATATAATAAAAACTTAAAATAAAAAAAGACCAGAAATAGGAAGAGAAATAAAACTATAATAGATTATTTTTGTGTTTAAATTTAAATTTATAATAAAATAAAAACACATTAAAAAACCATTCTAAATAAAGGATTAAATAAAAAATATTATAATTTCAACTTTGAACCTTTTTTTAAAAAAAAAAAAAAAAATTAATTAATTTTTTAAAATTTTTTTTTTTTAATTTTCATTTTTATTTTATTTTTTAAAAGTCACACAAATACAATATATATAATAATGAATGATACAGATGATTTTTTAAATGGTCAAATAGGGGATGATATAAATAATAATAATACGAACGAGATGATGGATGACTTTGATGATTTAAATAGTGGTTTAAATAACAATCCAGATAATGAAGATAATAATAATAATGATGAAAATGACAATAATAATAACGAAAAAACAAATGTAGCAAACAATACAAGAGTATTAGAAGAAGAACCTGACTTCACACAGGTAATGTGGAGAGATCCTGTATGGCTTCAAATGTTTCCGTTAAACCAACATACAGTTTTAACCTATTTTTCATATTCACAGTTTTATGATAAAAACTGTAATAATGAAACACTTAAAATGCAAAGATTAGACCCAGCTGCATTAAAGTATGTATTTATATGAATATAAATATTTATTTAAACCAATACATTTTAACAATATTATAATATCATTACTTTAGAACTATGGAAGGTTTAGAATATGAAGTAGCAAAATTTGTTGAACCCTCCTTTTACCTAATTGCAAAGCAAAATAGAATATCACCATCAGATGTTATCATTCAACAACTATATTATGTCATTAACGGCAATATTTATCAAGCACCTGATTTACGTCAAGTATTTACATCTAGAATCTCTCAATCACTATTTCATTTAAGCGAAGCATTTAATAAAATATCATCAATAATAAATTGGGACATTATAAATGGTTATTCATTTAATTTCGATCCTTCAAACCAGCAAGAAAAACAAAAACTTTCAACATATACCAGAAAACAAATTGAGGATACAAAGAGACTAGATACATTAATAGGTTCATTGTTTAATAAATTTCCACCAATTAATACACAACCACAAAACCTAATGTCACCAACACAAACACAACAACTGCAACAGCCACCATCCCAATAATCAATTTAAATAATAATTTTGTACATAAATAAATAAATATATAAAAAAATATATATATAATTTGGCTAAAAAAAAACAAAAAAAAGTTTTAAAAAGAATATAAAATTGATAATTAAAATAATTGATAATACAAATGTACTAATCATTAATATTTATTTAAGCTTTAGTATATTTTTGTAGGATATATTTTATACATAAATAAAGATAAAAAGATAAAAAGATAAAAAGATATAAATATATAAAGATATAAAAAATTTTAAAAAGCTGTAATGATCTAATGTGATCACTTCACCAAAGATTCATTTTAAAATAGCCAACAAAAAATAACAAACAACATTAATTTCTATTTAAAAAAAGATGATGTAAATTATTGATCTTTATAATCTCTTTTTATCTAAATTTATCTTTTTTATCTTCTTTATCTTTTTTTATCTATAATTACAATGCAATTATTATTTAATCCTTTACTATTATAAATATTTTTACTTTATTTATCATCATTAATTTCAATTATTTTATTTTTATTATATAATACAAATTTCTTAAACACCAAAAAACCAAGAAATCATATCTAAAACCAATTTACTTTTTAATTTTAGAATTAATAAAATATCTTTTTTTTAAAATTAATAATTAATATCCTATTAAACCAACCCCAAAAATAGTTTAATCTTAATATTAGTGGTACTATCTCTTTATAAAGATTTTAAAAAAAGATTTTAAATCATAACACAAAAAAAAAAAAAATGTGTTAAAATTGATGAATTGGCGTGGGAAAATTTTAAAAAAAATAAAAAAATATTATGACACTAATTTTAGGAAATAAAATATTTTTATGGTGTTGCTTTTTACGAAAAATACTCCTCAAAAAAAAAAATTAATTCGATGGATCCTTGGAATTATTCAACCATCATCGCAATATTGAGTCAAAAAAAAAAATACAAAATGAAAAAATAAAAAAAAAAATAAAAAAAAAAGATAATTTACGTAAAATTTTTTTCAAATTTACTTTTTTTTTTTTTTTTAATATAATATTTTATTTTTCAATTTTTATTTTTTTAATAATTATTTTTTTTTATTTTACTTTTTTTATTTCACAATAAACAGAAAGCACAAATAAGTAAATAATTTAATAAACAAATAATAAAGTAAATAATTTAAAAAACAAACAAATAAATAAAAAAAAGTATTTATTTTAATTTTAAAAAAAATAGTTTATTTATCTAATATTTTTTTTGTTGTTGTTATAAATTAAAACGAATATTAACACATACATACACACCTGCAAAAACCCCATACACCCAAATATACATAAACACAGATATATACACACATACACACACACTCATAAAAAAAATAATAATTATTTTTACATATTTTAATTCATTCCTAAATTTAAATTCATATAAAAAAAAAGTTAACAATTTACTATAATAATATTTATTATAATTACCACATTTCACACATACTATATTTGCAAATAAAGTACTGCAACATTCACACATATTAAATTTTAAAAAATATATTTATTTTAATACACCCATTAATTATTTTTTCTTTATTTTTTATTTTTTTAAAAAATACATTTTTTTTTTAATACACCCCATTAAAAAATTACAAGTTATAAACTCATTCAATTCCCAAAAAAATAAAAATTTTAATTATTTAATAAATTAATTTTTCTATCATTACTATTTTTTTTCTTAATTTTATATTTTCAAATACATATTTTATTTTAAATAATTACAATATTAACATCCACTACTTTAATTTTTTTCTTATTTAAAGACTTTACAATTATAATAAAATAATATCAACATAGCATCAACAATAAATAATAATAAAAAAAACCAATATAAAATAAAATATTTATAGATAAACCAAATAATAAATTTTATTATTTTATAAATCAACCTCAAATCAACTAACTATATAGATAAATATTTATTATAGATAGTTAAAAAAAAAAACAAAACAAAACAAAATAAAATTATTTCTATCACAACAAACAAAAATGAATTCTGCTATTAGGTTATTTTCAAATAAAGTAAGTTATCTTTAAATAAAAAAATAATATTTAAATTATATATTAATCTTATTTTTATTTTTTAGAATATTAATATTACAAAAAGAACATTTATAAGTATTATAGATGGTAATAATAAATTTCAACAAAGATTTGGACCATTCCCAGAGTTTGTAAAGATTGTCGAAGTAGGACCAAGAGATGGATTACAAAATGAAAAAACAATTGTACCAACTAAAGATAAGATTCATTTAATTAATAGTTTAGCACAAACAGGTCTTTCAGTAATAGAGGCAACATCATTTGTATCACCAAAATGGGTACCACAAATGGCAGATAATAAAGAGGTATTTGCAGGTATTACAAAAGTACCAGGTGTATCATTCCCAGTATTAACCCCAAATATTCAAGGTTTCAAGGGTGCTCTTGAAGCAGGTGCAAAAGAAGTAGCATTATTCGCAGCAGCTTCAGAAACATTCTCAAAGAAAAATATAAATGTCACTATAGAGGAAAGTATGGCTCGTTATAAGGATGTATGCGATGCTGCCAAAGAAAATAACATTAAAGTTAGAGGTTATGTTTCTTGTGTCTTGGGTTGTCCATATGAAAACAACGTTCCTATTAGTAAAGTAGTCGAGGTTAGTAAACGTCTCTATGATTTAGGTTGTTATGAAATTTCATTAGGTGATACAATCGGTGTTGGTACTCCAGGTGCAACTTATAAACTTTTACAAGCAATGTCACAAGCCATTCCTATGGAGGCTATAGCTGTTCATTTCCACGATACCTATGGTCAAGCTTTAGCAAATATTTTAACCTCTTTACAATTTGGTGTTTCCGTTGTAGATAGTTCAGTTTCAGGTTTAGGTGGATGTCCATATGCCAAAGGTGCTACAGGTAATGTTGCAACTGAAGATGTTTTATATATGATGAAGGATCTTGGTATTGACTGTAATGTAGATATGGAAAAATTAATGGGTGTTAGTTTATGGATTTCAAAATTATTAAATCGTTCCCCAAGTTCAAAGGTTTCTTTAGCATTATCTCATAAAGTACAACAACAACAACAATCACAATCACAACCAAGCTTATCAAATACATCAATACCAATTAATTGCAATACAAATATAAATAAGATGTCCACCGAAAAAGAAAAACAACATATATTTTTCAGCCAAAATAATCAAAAAAATCAATCTTCAAAACTAATTTTATAGTTTAGTAATAATATATATATATATTTTATGTAATATTTTAATATATTCATATACCTTCTGTACATATCAAACAAAAAAAAACTAAAAAAAATACAAAATATATAAAAAATAAACAAAAAATAAATATCTAAAAATTTCCTATACACATATATAATTAGGAATTATTCACAAATCTAAAAAGCTTTAATAATTTATTCTTTTTTGTTATATCTTTAATCATTTTAAAAAAAAATAGAATAAAAAAATTTTGGTAATTTAAAAGTTTAGGTTTTATAATAATAAAAATTCGAACTATTTATTTTTATTATATAAAGAGGTAAAGTAAAAATAAAAATATAAAAATAAAATTTATATTTTTTTAAGCAGCTTGTGATAGTTGTTGTTGTTGGTAATAGTTTTTTTGTTGCTGTTGTTGTTGTTGTTGATGTTGTTGTTGTTGTTGTTGTTGTTGCTGTTGTTGTTGTTGTTGTTGGTTTTGTAGTTGTTGTTGTGCTTGTTGTGCTTGGTTATATAAATTTAAATCTTGATTTAATGAGGATAAAACTTCTTTTTTTGATAATAATTTTTGTCTTACACGCTTTAAACGTTTTTCTAAAAGATATAGTCTTTCACTTTCAATTTCTACCAATTCTTCAATAGTTTTAATTGTTTTTATAGATGGATTCTTTTCAAGCTGTTTATAATACATGTTGATATCTGAAACTCTTTTCTTTAAATCTATTTCCTGTTGATCTATAATGTATAAATCTTCCATGGTTTTATCCAGTTGTTGTTGCAATTTCTCTTGCTCACCGAGCATTTTCTTTTCGTAAGAATAAATAGATCTGAAATTATCTACATTATTAACATAATCGTTTCCATATTGAGAATTATAACCATTGTAATGATGATTGTTAGAAGCACCAGTGTGAATGATTGGATCAGAGGAACCTGGTTGAGTGAAAATATCCCTAAATTGTGATACAAAACTGTTATACCAATTTGAAAGGTAACCAATGTCATAGTTGTAGTTTGTTTGTTCAATACCATTTCCTTCGATATGTAAAGCATCTCTAAAATCTTGTATAAGTTTATCTCTGTAGTCATTTGAAATTTGATTTGCATCAATGCCCTTGATATCCAACGATTCTGCTCCGTTATTGTTTGTATAATAATAGTCAACACCATCTATATGCTTTGATGCTGAATAATAACTATTTGAATCTTCGCTATTTTCAATTTCATTATTATTATTATTTATATTATCTATATTATTTATATTATTTATATTATTTATATTATTACCATCACCTTTTGAATGATAGTAGGTTCTTTCACAATTATTATTTACACATTTGACTGATTCATGTTCATGTTCGGTTTTTCCATTTTTACTATTACTATTGCTACTGCTACTGCTACTTCTTACTAGATTGTTATTGTTTTTATTTATATTTTGTACATTGTTATTATTTATATTATTATTATTGTTTATATTATTATTTATATTGTTTTTGCTATTTATGCTATTTATATTATTATTATTTTTATTTTTTGTTGTCGCTTGACTTTTTACTGAAATCGTTATATATAATAAAAACAAAGTTATAGAGAGAATAAGTATTATATTATTTCTTATTTTCATTTCTAAAACTTTTTTATATTAATATTTTAAAAAATTTGGTTTTTTTTTTAAAAATTATTTTAGATTTTAATAAATTATTTATTTTTTATTTAATAAATAAAAATAAATAGAAAAGTAAAATAAAACAATTATTTTTATAAAAAATAAAAAAAATTTAAAAAAAATTTTAAAAAAAATTTGAAAAAAATTTTATTTTTTAAAATATTTTTTTTTTTTTATGACTGTACATGCAAAGTCTATCTATGAGGCATAAACAAATAATGACAAAAAAAAAAAAAACAAAAAAAAAAAAAATATTTATATTTAATTAAATAAAAGAAAATGAAAAAAAAAAAAAATATTCTTATTTGATTGTGTTTTCTTTTTATTTTAATGACTGTATATGAAAGAATTTAAATAAATGTGGATTAAGTCGTTTATAAAACTTAAAAAATTTTATTTTTATTTTTAAAATAAAAGATTTAATAATAATTTGGTTTTATTTTATTTTATAAAAATTATTAAATTTAATTTTATTTTAAGTAGATTATTTATTTATTATATTTTTTAAATATAAATATAAAATTTCGTTGAATGGTTTGGTCTTTTCAGCAAAACAAAAATGAGATGTTTGGGGTATTAGATTGATTTCGTGGTTTGGGAAAAATGTGTGAATTGAATCTCTGAATGGTTTTTTTAAATAATGACTGTCACCCCCACCAATAAATAATACTTTTTTATCGAATTGTTTTTTAGTTGATATTTTTGGGAATGACAAAAGTTTATCTTGATTTTCACGAAGGGTATCTACATTAACTCTCCATTGGAATTTCTTTTTGTCATTCTCTATTAAGTTGTTCATTAAATATAATCTTTCACCTTTGTTTAAATTGAATTCTTGCATTTTTTTATCGATATCATTTTTTGTAGTTTTGGGATTATCAAATAATGTGGATGCTCCGATCATGGCTTCAAATTTTGAGTCGTGGTTGTGTACTCCAACATAGCATGATGGTGACACTGAAAAAAAAAAAATAGTTAATAAAAATAAAATATATTTTCAAAATATAATAAAATATAGCTTACCATCAATACAAACTAGGCCATCAACTAAACTTGGGTTGTTTAATGCATACAACATATTTGATTTGCCACCAAGACTGTGACCTACCAATATGATTTTTGAATTGGGTTCTTTTTCTTTTTTATTATTTAATACTATTCTTTCTATAAAATACTGTAAATCCTTTTCAATATGTTTTAAACTAATTTCTTTGCTGTGTGGTGATGAGCCATGGTTTCTAATATCCAAGGAAAATAAATCTACATTTATATCTAAATTTTCGGGTGATAAAAATGAGTCTATAGTCTCTTGACTTGGTGTTGGTAATTGAATTGGATTAAATGGGTCTTGTGATCTAACGAGTGGTGGTAAAAAATCTAAGAATCCATAACGAAACTTTTCTACTAATAATTTATTAGTTAATCTAAAATTATCTGATGATCCAAATAATCCGTGCATATATATAATTGATACTCTTTTTTTATTATTTATTTCATTTTGTTGATTCACATTTGGTAAGTGAATATTTGTATTTCTAAATGTATTACTGTATTTTAATGAATGTGATGATACTCCAAATGAAGATTGTACAAAATTTAATGGTATTGCTTTGATAATTCTTTTTTTTACCATTTTTATTTCAAGTAATATATACAAACGATAAAAAATAAAAAAACAAAAAAATTTAAAAAAAATTTTCGTTTTTTTTATTTTTTTTTATTTATTTTATCATTAATGATTGTTTACATATTTGTTTTAAATTATTTTTTAACATTATATATATTGATAATGATATGTTAAAATATGATTATTTTGATTTTACCTTTTTCTATTTTTTTTTTTATAAAAATAAAACCACACACAAAAAAAAAAAAAAAAAAAAGAAAAGAAAACTAAAATGAAAAGGAAAGAAAGGAAAGGAAAAAAAAAAAAAAAAAAAGTAGAAAAAATGTTTTAAACTGGAATGGATAAAAAATATTATACTATATAATTGAGTTCGATCAGATAAAAATTATTTATTTTTTGAAATTTAAAAATTTTAAAATTTAGTTTTTTATTTTTTATTAAAATTTTTTTTTTGTTTTTTGTTTTTTTAAAAGATCATTTTTTATTTAAAAAAAATTATAAAATGGATGGTTTATAATAATTAAACTTTTTTTTTATTAAATTCAAAATTAACCAGCTTAATTTCTTTTTTTTTTTCTTTTTCTTTTTTTTTAATTTTGATTTTTAATTTTTTAATAATTTTTTTTAAAATTTTTTTAAAAGATATTTTTTTTACCCATTCGCTTCGCATAAAAAAAAAAATATTAGTTTTTTTCCATCATACATCAATAGAATGATAAGTAAAGCTATAAAAAATAAATCAGTATTATTAAATTCAGTTAATTTAACCAGATCATATTCAAACAAGGTTAATTATAATGGTAAGTTAAATTAAACATTGTTTAATTGGTTTCCTTTATTTTTTTTTAAAAAAAATCAATATATATTAATTAATTTTATAATTTAGAAATTTATAAAAAACATTCAAAAATTGCAGAAAAGGAATTAAGTAAAGATGAAGTAATTAAAGCAATTAAAGAAAATACATTATTTTCATGGAATCCAACTGAAGCAGCAGCAAATAAAGCATTAGTTATGGAAAAAGGTGATGGTGTTTATTTCTATGATATCAATGGAAAAAAATATATCGATTTTAATTCACAAGCTATGTGTTCAAATTTAGGCCATACTGTACCAGAAGAAGTTATCAAAGCCATCGATGACCAATTAAGATCAGCTGCTTATGCATATCCATGTGCTATTGTTACACCAGTTAAAGCTAAACTTTCCATGTTATTAGCCGATATTTTCCCAGGTGATATTAACCATTTCTTCTATACTAGTGGTGGTGCTGAGTCAAACGAAACTGCAATGAGAATGGCTCGTCTTTTCACTGGTCGTCATAAAATTTTAGCTCGTTATCGTTCATACCATGGTGCTACTTTAGGTGCAATGACTTTAACTGGTGATCCACGTCGTTGGAATAGTGAGCCAGGAGCCAGTGGTGTTGTTCATTTCATGGATCCATATCCATACAGTTTCAAGTGGGGTGACAATGAAGAAGAAATTACAGAAATGTCATTAAAATATCTTCGTGAAACTATTTCATATGAAGGTCCAAATAAAATTGCAGCAATCTTTATCGAATCAGTAACTGGTACAAATGGTATCTTAAAACCACCAAAGGGTTATCTCGAGGGTATTCGTAAGATTTGTGACGAAACTGGTATTTTAATGGTTTGCGATGAAGTTATGAATGGTTTCGGTAGAACTGGTCAAATGTTTGGTTTTATGAATAGTGAAGGTGTTATTCCAGATATTGTTACTATGGCTAAGGGTATCAATGGTGCCTATCTCCCATTAGGTGCAGTTGGTTGTCGTGATCATGTTGCCGATTATTTCATGAAGAATCCAATTGGTATTGGTTCAACTTATAACAGTCATCCAGTCACTTTAGCATCAGCCTATGCAGCTCTTCAATACTTTTTAAAGAATGGTGTTTTAGATAATGTTCAAAAATTAGAACCAGTCCTCAAAAAGCATTTAGAGGAATTAAAGAGTCGTCATCCAACAGTTAAGGGTTATCGTTCACTTGGTTTATTTGGTACTGTTGAACTTCAAAAGAACTCTAAAGGTGAGCCTTTTGTAGGTTATAATGGTCCAGCTCACCCAGCAATGGGTCAATTACAAGAAGATATGGTTAAAAATGGTCTCTACACTCTTCTCCGTTGGAGCTCATTCTTTACCAATCCACCATTAACCATCAACGAAAAAGAATTAAAAGAAGGTTTCGAAATTTTAGATAAATGTTTAACCAATTTAGATAAACACTTTGAAAAATAAATAAATAAATAAATAAATATAATAATGCGGTATAACAATTAAATAAAAATATAAAAAATAAATATTACACATATAATAAATTAATATATCTATATACATTTTTATTTAAAATTATTCTATATAGTTGTTATTTTATTTCATTTGTTTTTATTTTAATGTAACTTCCATTAAAGATAAAAATGGTGGTCGATTGAATTTCTTTATTGTTTCTAATTTTAATCCACTCTCTTTTAATAAATGGAACCATTGGGATTTTGTTCTTTCTTCGCCACCCACAATTGCCATCATAATAATATCTGGTATACATTGACGCTTAAAAGTATCTTCATTCATATTATCATCTAAAATTGAATCTATTATTAATAAACGTGGGGTATTTCCACTATTTGATCTTTCTATTCGCATGGCTGATGCTACTGAGGATAAGATTTTAATTGAATCATTTGTATTCCAATCATGAAGAACCTGCATCATAATATAAAGATCTGCTGCTGGAATTGAACGTGGGATAAACATATTTCCAGCTTTGAAAACTAAACGTTTCTCCTCTATTAGTTGTCTTTTAACTTCATCGATTTTACTTAAATCCAAACCATTTCTTACAGTTTCCTCTAATTCTAAAACAAATACTTGTGAGTGTGGATTGTAGCCTGCAATTTGATAGCCTAAATGACCTACACCTCCACCTATATCGCAAATTCTTTTATATGGTGAAAAATCATAGCCCTGGATGATTTGAGCATAAATTTTAGTTGCATTATTTCTCTGTTTCATTGCACTGTCAAAGATCTTTTTGATATATGTATCTTTTTCATCGATATATTGGAAGAAACTAACACCATGTTTGTTTTGGAAACCAGTTACACCATTCTCGACACACTCTTTTAATGATTTCCATGCATCAATAAAAGTTGGATAGGCTAGCATTGAAAATACACATCCCATTTCATCGGATTGGTTCTTATTGAAATCTGGACTGCTTAGAATTCTTGAACAGTTGTTTAATGCAAAAGTTCCATCAATAACATTGTAGCTAAAGAACTTTTCCTGAGTTAGAGCACGCATTACTCTAAATAAATTATTTTCATTTGACTTTGTTAATCTTGCTAATTGTTTAATGTTTAATGGTCCATCTTTTAAATGATCGATTACTTTAAGGGTAAACACTACACTAAGGCACTGGAATACTATATGGTCATTTGCAATTCTATACATTTTTAGTTGTGGTATAATCATTTCCCAATATTGGGTAAGTGAATAAATGCAACGCATTATATATATGCCAATGATTGGTGGTAAAGATTCTTTGTTTGATATTTTTTTTTTCATTACAAAAAAATAATAATAACCAAATAATACAAATAAAAACAATATACTTGGTAAACCAACTAACAATGAGGAGGCTAATAAAGATGCAACTATATTATCCATTCTATAAATTTATCTAAATTTAGATAAAAAATAAAAAAATTAGTAAAATAATAAAAAATAATTTTATATATTTAAATGATTTTTATTTACTATTGGTTATTTTTTATTATTTTAACTATTATTTTAAACATATTATAGGTGTAATATTATTATCTAATTTTATTTATAAGTTATATAAATAAATATCTTTTTATTGTTGGAGTATAGGTACAGTATGTTGGTTATATTAATATTTGCTTAAAAATATATATAAAAAGTAATTTTAATTAATTTAAAAATATAAAAAACATAAAAAAAAAAAAAGTGTTGGGTGCGAGTTTAATTTTGGGGAGGGGTTATAAAAATACAATAATAACTTTGTTTTTAGTTTGGTAAATATTAAAGGGAATGTGGGAGGAACTATTGTTGTTATTATTGCTATTTATTAATATTATTTGTTTTTTTTATTAAATTAAATATATAACCACTTCATAATATTTAATAATGATAGAATATTATAAGTAAATAAAATTAATATCTCATTTTTTTTTTAAAAAAAAAAAAATAAAAAAAAAACAAAATAATATTAAAATAAAATTAGTGTTATTTAAAATTTTGGTTTTTTTTGATTAGATATTATATATATATAGGATATATAGGTACAAATTATTTTATTATTTTATTATTTTAATTATTATTTATTTTTATTAATTTTAATTTTATTTTATTTTAAACAATTTTAATATTCATATTATCACAAATAGTAATTGTTGTGTGATTGGAGGATATAAAATGATATGTTCCAAAATAATGATATTAAAAATTAAAAAAAAAATTAAAAAAAAATTAAAAATTAAAAAAACATCATGATTTAAAAAAAAAAATGAAAAAAAATGAAAAATAAACTTTATGGGGGTATTTTAAAGACGGTGGTAAAAATACAATAATATTTTTTTCATGACAGGGTGTTGGTGCTTTTCATTTAAAAGAAAAAGGGTAGCAGATAGTGTTGTTAATAAAAATGTGTTTGTGGTAAAATTGATGATTAAGGTGAGGTTTTTCTTTCTTTTTTCATAATTTTTAAAAAAATATCTTTATAATCATAAAAAAAAAAAAAATATTAAAAAAAAAAAATAATCATTGTACATACCTTAATAAACAAAAAAATAATAGTGTTATTTATTTTTTTTATAACTATAAATATAATAAAAAAATAATTAAAATTAGAATTATTTTTTTATTAATGAATTTTTTATTTATTTAATTTATCTTTCTGACATTTCTACATTACCAATAAGAGGTTTTTATTTTATTTTTTATTTTTTATAATTTATATAAAAAATTGGTATTATTTTATTAGTTGTAATTATTATATTAACTACCTCTAATTAAATTGTAGAAATGAAAAGAAGATTTTATAATTAAATATAAATATAAATTATAATAAAGAAATTATTAATTATATTTTACCTTTTAAACTTAATATTGGGATAATAGTAATTTAATAAAATGAAATGGAAAGGTAAAGCAATTTATATTCATATAAAAAAACAAATAAAAAAAAAAAAATTATTTAAAAAAATTATTTAAAAAATAACTACATAAATGATCAATGAAATATTATAATTATATTTTTATAGAAATATTTATATAATACAAATATTTATATAACCAAAACCAATTTATTTACCCAAATAAAAATAAAGGACCAATCATAAAATAAAAAAAAAATAAAAAAAAATAAAAAAAATATTTTTTATTTTTTTTTTAGGTAACTGTGATATAATAAAAAAGTATCATTTTTATTTAACCATTTTGTTAACTACTATTATCAGAAGGGCTAAATTAAATTAACTTTTCTTTTTTTTTAATAATTAGGCACACCCGTTCATGTAAATAATTTTTTTTTTAACAATAATATAAAATTTTATTTTAAAAAAAAAAAACTACAATAATCAACTCAAAATGATTTTCTTTACAAAAAGAAATTAAAACAACTCGAATGGTTGATAAAATGTGATTTATCAACCTTTTAAATAAAAAATTACAAACCAATTTCATTATAAAATTTTTATTTAAAAATTCAAAACCTTTTTCAAAATAAGAAGTCACAAAAACTTAACATTAATGGTATACACCTCAAAAATATTAATTTTTACACTTAAGTAACAAATAAATGCCATATTTTTTTATAAATAGTGTATGTGGTTAGTGTGGGAATTAATATTAATTATTTTTAAATGTTTTTTTTTATCGCTTTATAATGGTGTTAGTTTTAAAAAATGTCTTTATCTAAAAAAACATCATTGTAGATAAAATTTTTAATTAATTTAATTTATAAAAAATGACATATTTTAGTATGAATTTTATTAATTTCCTGAGGAGAAAAAAAAACAACGATGTGGTTGTTTTTTAAAATAATATAAATAATAAAAAAAAAAAAAAAATCTAATCTTTTTCAGAGGTAGCAACAATGAGGAGAGTTCATTAAAATTCTTTTCTATATTTTTACAATGCCACTATATTGAATAGATTTATACGTGTGGTAAAATATTTTACCATATATATTAAAAAAATTTTGAATACATATATTAATTTCTTTAACATTATAGTGAAGGTTTTCTCAAATATAACTTTTATAGATAAAGTGAGGATATACCTCCTGTTAAATAAAGAGTCTATTCAGCTAATGTTATACATGCTTATTTTTGGATGTACCAACAATTTTATACTTCATATATATAAAATATTATTTTTTTTTTATTTTTTTTTTTCAAATATGCTTGATATTTTAAAATCTTTTTAAAAAACTAATAAAATTATTTTATTATTAAATTAATTAAAAACTTTATTCTAACAAAGCTATTAAATTTTTATTTGTATTTATTCTTTATATTTTTTATATTCTTTTATTTTTTTTTAAAATATAAAAAAAAAAAAATTTAAATTTAAATGGATTTAATTAACTACTCAACTATAGCTGCATCTTTAGTAGGTGCAGGTGTAACATATGCTCTTTTAAAAGGTAAAAACAACAATAATAGTTCATGTGGAATTGAATTCCCAGATGTTGCTTTAAAAAGATGGGAAAATTTAAACAATGGTTATAAATGGGAACAATTTTTAGAAGATATCAAAGAATTAGACGATCCATCACAATATAAGGAGGTATTAGATGAATGTTTAGAAATTAAAAGATCTGGTGAACATTATAAATCCTTGATGTTGTTCAATAGAGTTTTAACAACAATTCAAAGATTAAAAAATAATAAAAGTAATTATAAAAAAAATTGTTGGTTTTATTTATATTAAAATTAATTAAATAATGACTAACTAAATAAATAAATAATAACTGCAATATTTAATGATTAATTTTAAATTTTTATTTTAGATGTTTTATTTAATAAAATCAATGACTATATCGAAGAAAATAAACCATTAAGAGTGATGAGAAGTGAAGCAACCCAATTAAGAGATTGTACCAATGCATTTCTTAGTGAGGAAGGTGGATGGAAGGTTGATAACTATCTTACCAATAATGTATTATTCTCCTATAGAAATAACGGTAGACAGTTGAAATCTAGAAAGTTCATAAAGGTAATTGATAAGCCAATGAAGAATCTTGCATGCAGAGCTGAAGAAATCCAATTTATTAATACTTGGAAATGGTACCAAACTGGTACTTTATTGGACAATGTCGATGGCACACAAATATTGAGTTTTATCTCAATTCTTAGCAAATTCTTTATTCTTAATCGTGCTGCTTATTGTTGGAAAGTTAGTTACTTTTTACCAGATGGTTCGTTGGTTATTGCTTATAACGGCGCTAATAATAGACAAGAGGACTATGACTTGCCACCATTACCCGAAAATTTCGCTAAACCAGATATTTTTTACCATGCTTTTCGTTTCATTCCATTGACACCCGAAAGAACTATAGTTATCTCTGTGTTATGGAGTCTGATCCAAAAATTTGGTTCCAACCATACGAAGATTTTATTAGACAAGGTAGAATATTTGGTTCTCGTGAATTGGTTTTGATGGATGATAACTCAAACTATATAAAAGGTACTGAATTTGAAGATTTTGTAAATACAAAACCAATCTATAAACAAATTGACGAAACTATTTTAAATTTAAAAAAGAAACAACAAAAAAAACAAAATGTTGAAGAAAATGAAAACTAAACCATTGTTTAAAAAAATTAAAATAAAAATACAAAAAATCAATGTTTATTATTATTATTATTTATTTTGGGTTTAATTATTATTTATTTTAGATTCGAAAAGAAAAAAAAGAATTACTATAATTTTTTTTTTTTTATTATCTATTTATTTGTTTTATGTTTTTGTTTTTCTAGAACTAAAACTTCATTCTTTAAAAAATAAAAAAAAATCTTTTTGAAATTACACCACAAGAAATTTAAAAAAAATTTAAAAAAATTAAAAAATAAAAAAAAAAAATATTTATTTATTTCATTTTTTTTTTTTTTTTTTATTTTAAAAAGGGTTTATTTTTATTTTTTATATACATATACTTATTAAAAATGGATAACTCTAATAATTATAATAATATTAATAATGATGGTTTGAATAATACTGAAATTAAAGTTGAATTAAATGTTGACCTAAGTTGTCAATCATGTGTAGATACAGTAACAAAGGAAATAAAAGACAAATTAAAAAATACAAAAATAATAAAGTCAGATTTACAAGACCAAAAGTTTATTTTACAAGGTACAGATTTAACAATGGATATATTAGATACAATTAAAAACACAGGTAGAGAAGTTTCAATCTGTGGTATAAGCCCAATAGAAAACAACAACAACAATAATAATAAAGATAACAATATAGAAGAATCACAGCAACATATAGTAGACGGTGCAGCAGTATGTTCGCTTGGTATCATTGAAGGTTGGGAAAAAGGTTGTGGTGGTAGCGGCGGAGAAGGCAGCAAAGGTGTATATGGTGTAGTCCGTTTATTAAAAGCCTCAAAAGAGAAAACTTTATTTGAAGGTAGAGTCACTGGTTTAAAACCTGGTAAACACTCATTAGTAGTACATCAATTTGGTAATTTAACAAGTGGTTGTGACAATGTTGGCGAACCATACATTTCAAATAAACAATCAAATAATATATTTAGCGATAATAATAACAATAGTAATATAGATACAGCAAAAGGAAATAAATGCAGAGAAATTATAAATAAAATAATTGGAACATCATTAGTTAAGCAAGATGGTAAAGCTGAATTTAGAGTATTATCGGAAAAATACGAATTCTGGGATTTAATTGGTCGATCAATTGTCTTACATTCCCAAGATGCCAAATATGCTGATACCCATAAAGAATCCAAACCAGAAAGTGACAATATTTTAGGTGAACGTATTGCCTGTGGTGTAATTTGTAGAGCCGCTTTAGTAGGACAAAATCCTAAAAAGATTTGTCCTTGTGACAATCAAAAAGATTAAAAATATTTAAATTTTTAACCCTATATATATAAATCATATGGTTTTGTTATAATTAAATATTAATAGAAAAAAAACAAAGATAAAAATAAAATGGGTTAACCCAACTTATAGTTTTAAAAACTATAAAATGGGTCAAACCCAACTTATAATTATAAAAATTATTTTTAATATTTTATTTTTTTACTTCCTTAATTTATTCTTTATCTACATTTTATTTTAATATTTTTAGACTACAGTCAGTTAAAATGAAAACCTGTTTAGTCTTAAAATTAAACACGCTAAACATACACCAAATATTTTTGGTGTAAAAATTATTTTTTTTTTATTTTATTTTATTTTTTTTTATTTTTTATAAAGAATGTTTTTTTTTTATTTTATTTTATTTCATTTATTTATAAATTGTTAAATAAACTATTAAATCAAATAATATTTCAATCTTTTTAATTTTTAAATTTTGTAAAAAAAAAAAATCCAAAAATTTGGTGTGTGTAAAAAACACCACTAAATCAAAAAAAAAAAAAAAAAGATATCAAAAGCAGATATTTATAATTTTATAAAACCATTTCTTTTATTATTTTTTTGGTGTAACACTGACATCACTTTCACAATTATAATTCCTTCTTAACAATTCAATAGAATTTTATTTTAAAAAATTGTTAACCAGTATTATCCAATTTTTTATTTTCCCGACCATCTACGTCTAACGAATATTTAGTGCAGTTGCACCTTTAAATTTTAAAATGGATTCAGTAGGAGTTGCAGTTGATTCTATGTAAGTTGGAATATTACTGTGATTTTTCAAAAAAAAGATTTTTTTAATTCAAAAAAAAAAAAAAAAAAAAGATTCGTTTTTTTTTATTTTTTTATTTTTATTCTATTTTTTTTTTTTTTTATTATTTTTATTTTTTTTAAATTCATTTTATTTAATATAATAATTTTTTATTTTAATAAATAATATCTATCTATTTTTTTTTTTTTCGTTTAAATATTATTTTTCTTTTGTAACAATAAAATTGATAATAACTTTTTTTTTTTTTTTTTTTTTTAAACACCTTTCAAAAAAATAATTATTTAAAGTAAAGAAAAAATGGTTTCACCAGATACATTTATTAATGGTCCAGAATATTTTGGTTCAATTCCACATGGTGGTGAATTAATCGATTTATTATTAAAAGGTGAACAATTGGTCGAATTAAAAAAAAGATCAGTCACAATGCCAAGTTTGTTATTGACTAAGAAACAATTATGCGATATCGAATTATTGATTAATGGTGGTTTCTCACCATTAAAAACTTTTATGGATGAAGACACCTATACAAGTGTTTGCAACTATATGACATTAGAAGGAAGTGAAGATGGTACCGTTTTTCCAATGCCAATTATTTTAGATGTTACCAAAGAAACCTTAGATATTGTATTAGCAACTGAATCAAAAGAATTAGCATTACGTGACGAAGAAGGCAATCTTATTGCCGCTATCACTGTCAGCAATTATTATAAACCAAATAAAACTGAAGAGGCACAAAAAACAATGGGTTCAGTCGATCCATATCACCCAGGTGTAAACACAATTTTCAATACTAAAGAATACTATATCAGTGGTTTATTAGAAGGTGCTCAATTACCAGTTCATTACGATTACAATTCTCTTCGTCGTACACCAAAGCAAGTCAGAGAAATTTTCAGAGAAAACAATTGGGAAAATGTTATTGCATTCCAAACTCGTAATCCAATGCACAGAGCCCACAGAGAATTAACTGTTAGAGCTGCAGAGCTTAACCCAGGTTGCCACATTTTAATCCAACCAGTTGTTGGTATGACCAAACCAGGTGATATTGATTACCACACTCGTGTTAAATGTTACAAGACTATTATTGAAAGCTATCCAGAAGGTTTGGCTATGCTTTCACTTTTACCATTAGCCATGAGAATGGGTGGTCCAAGAGAGGCAGTATGGCACGCAATCATCCGTAAAAACTTTGGTTGCAATCATTTCATTGTTGGTAGAGATCATGCAGGTCCAGGTGAAGATAAGAATGGTAATCTCTTTTATCAACCATATGAAGCACAAGAATTAGCTCTTAAAATGGCTGATCGTTTAAATGTTAAAGTTTTACCATTCCAAATGATGGTATATGTTCCAGACCACGACAAGTATTACCCAGTCGATGAAGTTCCAAAAGGTTTAGAAACTGCAAATATCTCTGGTACTAAACTTCGTCACCTTTTACGTACTGGTGGTGAAATCCCAAATTGGTTCACTTATGAAAAAGTTGTACGTATCCTTAGAGAGTCATGCCCACAACGTTCAAAACAAGGTTTCACAGTTTTCTTTACAGGTTTTAGTGGTAGTGGTAAGAGTACTATTGCAAATGCTCTCAATGAAGCACTTTTAGAAGATGGAAGCCGTTCAATTACCCTTTTAGATGGTGATGTAGTTCGTACTTTCCTTTCAAGCGAGTTAGGTTTTTCAAAAGAACATCGTGACCTCAATATTAAGCGTATAGGTTTTGTTGCATCAGAAATTTCAAAAGCTGGTGGTATTGCAATTTGCGCACCAATTGCTCCATACGAAGCTGCTCGTAATTTCTCACGTCAAATTATTTCTCAAAATGGTGGTTTCATCGAAATTCATATTTCAACTCCAATCGAAACTTGCGAAAAAAGAGATCGTAAAGGTTTATATGCTAAAGTTAGAGCTGGTCAACTTAAAGGTTTCACTGGTATCGATGACCCATATGAAGCCCCAGAAAACCCAGAATTAAGAATTGATACTACAGATGTTTCAGTTAAAGATGCTGTCGATATTATTTTAAATCATTTAAGAACTGAAGGTTATATAAATTAAAAATGAAATTATATAATAATAATAATAATAATAATAGTAATATTACTTTTTTTTCAAATATTTTTAAAAATAAATAAAATTAAAAAATAAAATATATAGTTTTATTTTTAAATTATTAAATAAATAAATACTGTTTAATTTTATTAAATTTAATTTATATATTACAAAGATTCTTGTTGTTAACCATAATGATAATTGGTTCGCATTAGTTTTACCATCTGTGAGAACAACCTGAAAATGGTGCGGTTAGAATAACGGCAAATACAGCAGCAGTAATTAAACCAGCGGTTGCTAAACCATCAGCGAATTTAGCTCTTGATGTTTTTCTCATTTTTACATAACCATGGACAATCTTAAAATCACCGTGTGTAATTTTACAATAATATGGCCCCATTTCTACTCTATTACTGATAAAGGATGAAACTTTCTTTTTACTACCTGGTAAACCTTTAAATTCTTTTCTTTCGAGTACTGATAAATTTTCCCTCCATGTTTTATATACATCGATATAGTTTGATGGGACATTTGTTAAACCAAAATCTAGTGCAGTAATGGCAATTTCAATAGTACCATGTTTTGCAAAATATAATTTTTCTTTAGTTTGCACTTCGACACCCTAAAATAATAAAATAATAAAATTTAAAATTAATATTGGTTTTTATTATTTTTTTTTTTTTTTTTTTTACTTACCAATGGTAATAATGATAAATTAATACCTAAATAACCTAATAAATCATCACATGATCCATAATCATGGTCATATACTTTGAGCATTAATAATTCTGTTCTAACACTTTCAACAGATAAATAAAAAGTTTCTTCCCAAACTGGATTAAGGTTATTTGAAACAAATTTGGTTTGTGGGTATGTTACAAAACATGATGATTTAATTTTGACGTATGGATCTGACGATTTTGAAATAGTATCAGCAACCATTAAGTTATGGCCACGAATAATTCTAAGTTTAATGTTTCCTTTTATTTGATCACAATGAAAATCACTGCCGTTTGGTGCATATAAACAGCCATTGACAATTTCAGCTGGAGCTGCATTTGGATTAATTGTACAAACAGTATTTGGGATATTTTGTGGTTGTTGTAAATACATTTGTTTTTGAATTTCTTCGAGTTTAGCTGGGTCAACAGTAACTTGTGATTGTAATTGTGCATGTTGTTGTTGGATTTGTTGATATTGTAATTGTTGTAATTGTAATTGTTGTTGTTCTAGTTGCTGTTGTTGTTGTTGGATTTGTTGGTAATGAAGCTCAACTTGTGCTTGTTGCTGTTGTTGTGCTTGTGCTTGTAATTGAAGTTGTTGTAATTGTTGTTGTTGTTGCTGAATCAAAATCAATTGTTGCTGAATAATTTGGTCTTTGTCGCTTTGAAACTGTTGTTGTTGTTGTTCATACTGACAATCATCAATTTTGGCTAATGAAACGGGTTGGTTATCCATCTTAATATATTTTATAAAATAATATAATGAGTTTAAAAAAAAAAAAATAGATTTTTTTATTTATAAAAATAATTTTTGAAAAAAAATTAAAAATAAAAATAAAAATAAAAATAAAAATAAAAATAAAATATGGCACAACTGATCAAAAATCGGTGTGTTGCGCAATTTTGTATTATCGACAAAAAAAATATTTTACACTGTTGCTTTTTATAAAAAATAAAGAAATATTAAAAATAAAAGAATAAAAAAAAAAAAGAAAAAAAAAAGAAAAAGTGGTTTTTATTATTAGCAATTGATAATTATAATATTATTAATAACATTATAAAAATATATAAAATTCTTTTTCTTTTTTTTATATTTATTTTTTTTTTTTTTTTTTTATTTATTTAAATGATCATCTTTTTACCCCAACAACTAACTGATACTGTAAATTCTAAATTGTGGACATAATGTACCCAGTTTATTGGAATGTAAATTGATTCACCAGCAGTGAGAACAGTTGTGTAAACTTTTTTACAATTTGAAAAAGCTGGATGTTGTTCAATTGGAACACCATGGTCATTTTCATTGTATTTGACATCATTTTCTTTAAGTTTATCATTATTGATGTTGTTTTCATCTTCTGGGGGGACCATAATAACATATTTGGCGCCTCTATTTAAAATATAAATAAAAACTTAATATTATTTTATATAATTAGAAAACTGTTTTATTAATAACCTACCTAATTACAGCAACAACATTATCACCAGTATCTTTATGGAAATCTGTAGCAGAATCTGGTGAACCAATGAATGCACCTCTTACAACCATATTATGGATGTCGGTGTTGAAAACCACTTCATTCTTTACATCATCTTTAAATTCACTAAATTCATCGAATAATGCAAAGTTACGAAGGTATGGTTTTTTACATTTTCTTAATTTATTTCCTTTTTAAAAATAAATACATTAGATTTATTTATAATAATGATTTGATAAATTGATTTATTTGTTTATATATTTATTTATATATTTATTTATTTATTTTGTTTTTTATTATTAAATAATTACCATTTTCATCAACACTTTTAAATTCATTATTTAATGATTTGTTTAAATATTCAGAGAATTCCATTCTCTTAATATCGTGCATTGGTCCAAAAGTGCACATATCAACATCAACTTGATGTTTACCTACCTTATCCAATAAATACTCTGGTGTCCATTTCTTTATAGCATCCCAATCTTTTGCAAATTGTGAAAAAACAATTGGTTGATTTTCTTTAATTAATCCATAAAAATAATCTTTGTCAATAGTTTTATTATCTACTCTTTTAATTGATTCAATATTAACAACCATCTAATGTTTTATTATTTATAATTTTATTATTTTATTAATTTATATTTTTATTTTATATTTAAAATTTATTTTTTTATTTAAACTATTAATTTAATTTAATTTTTACTTTATAATACAACAATTTAAATTATATTTTATTTATATAATTTTATAAAAATCAAATTAAAAATTTAAAAAAATATTAAATTTTTTAAAAAAAAAAAAATTAAAAATAAAAAAGAAAAAAATATTTTCTTTGAATTTTTTTATTTGACTATCGATTAAAAGAAATATTTTTCTTTTAATATATTTCATTATATATCTGATATTTTAGATAATAAATTTTTCTTTTTAAAATAAAATTTATTCAATTTTAGATAAAAAAAATAAAATTTTTTTATGAATAAAATTTATTTTCAATAGGAAGGCACACAAATATAATATTTATTCCGTACTATATAGATAAAAAAATAAATAAATATATAATAAACAATATATTATAAATAAAGAAATTTTTTTAAAAAACTATTAAAAATGATATGGATAATAATGAAAAAATAAAATATTTTATTATTTCAGTAATCTTATTACATTTGAAATAAAATTATCAAATAAATATTTTTAAACATGCGGGTTTAACGGTTGTAGGGTCATAGGTAATAGTAGTGCTATAAACACATCGTGGATATCAATGACTGCAGATTCAATGAAGCCATTATTTATATCTGATTAGTTATTTTTTAAATATTTATTTTGTGGGAAAGCTGGAAAATATTGGAAAGCGCCAGGAACATTAATTTGACCATTAATAGAATAAATGGATACGGTTAAGCCATTTGGATTTGGTGGAACAGTTGCGCTAAAATAGCACGAAACTGTATTAGTATCGATATATTTTGGTGATATACATGGAGTTTCTCCAACTGTAATACTAAGTGAACCGGCAAAAAAGTTGGAGCCACTAATTGTAATTGTGCCACCTTGTGTATAATGAAGTTTTGAAATACTTGAAATAGTTTGTTCGGCATACACAGCATTAAAGACATCTGAATAGACATCATTAACGACTCTTAGACGAACTGGAAGGATTGAATTAAATGTACCTGCTGGGGCATTACATAATAGTCTCCAAGTATCAATTAATGTGCAAGTAGTATACTCTACACCATTGATATAAATTCTCCATTGGCGATCAATATCATTTACAAGTTGATTACTAAGATAATTGCCTATGATTTCCACGATACCTCCTTGAACTGGTGGAGTTGAAATTGAAATAATTCTTGGTTTCATTGATAAAATACTATACTCGCCTGCCAAGTATGTTGAATTTAAACCATCGACACCTAAAAATACTTTGTTACAAGATAGATTATTGAATACAACTGGATTATAAAAAGCAGAAACCTTGGTATGTGGGGTTATCATTTGAATATTGTTTATTGGATGACCACAAGCATATACAGTTACTAGGTTTGGTTGATTACCAAAGTCAGAACCAGAAATTGTCATCATATTGGTTTGGTCATCAAACTCTATATTTTTTTCTGTTGCTGGATATTGGTAACTAATCATAGCTGTTAAAACTGAATTGGTATTGTAACTAGAAACACGTATTATGTTATTAAAATTTGTTGAGCCTGCACCACCAGTACCTGGTGGCACATTTAAAACAATTTGGGTTCTATCTACCCAAGTATAATCTGTAATTTCAACTGCTCTATAAAATAACTGTAAATTATTTGATGTACCTTTAAATGTAGTTTTATCGAAATAACGGCCATTAATTGTAACAACACCACCTGTTGTTGGCAAACGGTTTCCTGATGGATAAACAACTTGGGAAATTTGTGGCTAAATTAATCTATTAGTATTAATAAAAAAATAAAATAAAAAATAAAAAATAAAAATAAATAAAATAATAATACATACACTAAAATAATAGTTTGATTTGTAAGTCCAATCCTCATAGGTTGCTTGGAACTCACCACTTTTAATATAATCTGCTATTGGTATATTTGGGCAATGATACATCTCTGATGAGAGATATGAACATAATGAAGTAATATCTTGATCATTTAATTTAAGGGAAGCTGTCTTAATTGAAGTATCATTTAAAGAAATTTGAAAATAATCTAGCCCATTATAAAAATAACTTATAAAAAACCTTATTCCATAAACTTTTTAAATTTATAAAAATTAAATGAATGGAATGAAAAAAAAGCTTGTTAATAAAAATCAAAATAAAAACATATAAAAATAAAATATAAGAAATCAAAATCAAAAGAAAAAAGAAATATCAAAATCAAAAGAAAAGAAATATCAAATTAAACAAATACCATTTTGTAAAAATAAAAAGAAAAATACAAGTAATGATATATTTTTCATATTATTCATTTTCAGTCGTTTATATATTATTATTATTATTATTATTTTTATGGGTAATAATAAAATTTTATAAAAAATCAAAAAAAATTATTATAAAAACTTTTTTTGTTTTAATTTTTTTTTATTTTAATTTTTTTTATTTATAATTTTTTTTTAAAATTCAAGTTTCTTTAATTTTTTTTTTACTTTTCTTTTTTTTTCTTTTTCTTTTTATTTTTTTCTTTATTATCTTACCTTTATTACATTATTTTAATATGCTATAATATTTTATACATACACACACAAACTTAAATACCCCACTCACTTATTTTCGAAAATTATTAAAAATTTTATTTTTTATTTTTTATTTTTTTATTTTTTATTTATTTTTTATTTTGTTTAATATATAACACATTTTTATATACTAATAACTTGTATAATATTATTTTTTATTTTTTTTAGTATATATAAAAACGAATAATTTAGTTTTTTTTTTTTGTTTTTTTTTTAATAATCTAACATCTATACACACCTATCATATTTAATATATCTTAAAACAAAAACAAAAAAAAAAAACTTAAATCTTAAAAAAAAATGGAGAAAAGTTCAAATTCGATTGGTACAGGTACCATGATAGATATGGCAAATTATAATGAAAATTTGCCATTAGTGGATAATATTTCTATTTCAAACTTAAGTGTTCAAGAATTATTAACAGAATCCGAAGTTAGAAGGCAATTAAAAACCCAGCCAGTATATTTAAAATATGTAATGATCTAAAAAATATTATATAAAAAAAACTTTATAATTCAATCAATTATAAAACAATAATCAATCATAAAATTAATTAATCTATCAATGATCAATGATCAATCAATCAACGATCAGTCAACGATCAATCAATCACAATCAATTAATCACAATCGATCTATTATCCATATAACATCGATTCTATCCATCTCTACATTATTTTTTTATTAAATTTTGAGATGGTTTATAAAAATTTATATTAACATTTATAATATTATTATATATAGTTTTGGAAAATTTTATTAATCATATCAATATTTTATAGTTTACCATCAATTCAATTTGTCCTTTTTCAAATATCCGAACCAACAATTGAATGTTATTATAATTATAAATGTTTAAGACCACTTTTAGGTATACCCGCTTTTAATAATGTAGTTTCAAATATAGGTTATATAGTAGCTGGTGCTTCATTTATAATGATCGTTTATTTTACTAGTCAAAAAGAAGATGGAGTTCACGGATTACATACAGATTTATCATTGTATTATTGTTTAGGTTTAGCAATTACCTTCGAAGGTGTTTTCTCTGGATTATATCATGTTTGCCCATCAAGATTAAATTTCCAATTCGGTAAGCTTATATCATATACATATTAATAAACCAAACAACAATATCTAACCAACATTTTACCTTAAAGATACTACTTATATGTTAATTGGTTCAGGGTTATTGTTTTTTACTCTACATCAAAAAAGACATGCAACATTAACAGCAGGCGCCTTTAAAGCATTTTCATTCTTTTCATTATTTGTCTTTTTAGAAGTAATTTCATTATCAAAAATTAATGTTTATGCGTAAGTAAAAAATAATAACAATGATAATGATTATAAATATTAATAATATTACTTTTTTTTTTTTTACAAATTAAATTTAGATTTTGGATCATATTTACTGTTGTATTTGGTTATGTTTCAGTTGTAGGATCATCATATTTATTAGCACACAAGAGAATGGAATTAAATTCAAGCTTTGGATACCTTGTCAAATCATTAAAAAGAATTTTGCATCCAAGTACTATCGAGGATAAATCTAGATTCTTTTCAATTTTATTTGCAAATGTTTTAAGTTGGGTCATTGTTGTTGCTTTTGGAGTTTATAGTATTATTCATAGTGTTTCAAATAATTTCTCAAATTTAATATTGTAATGTATCATTTATCTACTGTATACACTTTTAAAGTATTTGTATTAATTTTTTATTTATTTTTATAGAGGTATTATGGTTTTAAATTTCTTAATTTATTTAGCTTATTATATTGCAATGAAATATAGATATGGTGAAAAAGTTTACTTGTCAGTTTGGATTTTATTAGTTGTAATGTTTGTATCATGGGGCTTTGCTATTTACTTTTTCGAAATTCCCCTCACCAACAAATTTTTAACATTCCAAGAATCCCTTCAACTCAACAAACCTTGTGTTTTATTCAACTATAATGATTGGCACGATTGCTGGCATTATACCTCCGCATTGGGTCTTTTCTCTTTGGTTTCTGTAGTCTACTTTATTGATTGGGATTTAAGAAAAACACCAAGATCTTTAATTAGAGTATTTTAATTATGGCACAATAATAAATAATATAGATAAAATAATATAAATAAAATATAAAATATAAAATATAAAATATAAATAAATAATAAAATAAATATAATAATATATAAAAATATTAATTAGATTTAATAAAAAGTAATAAAAAATAAAGATTTAAAAAATAAAGATTTAAATTATTTTTGGAAATAATTTAATATTTACATTGTAATACTACATAATATTTATTGTTTATTTGTTTGAATTATAAATGATTTTAAATCTAAAGGATTTAATGAAACATTGTCATCTATAATGTTTATAATGGAATTAAAAGATAATGTTGTTTCTTCTATATTTGAAATATTAAATAAATTAAAAAAGTTGTTAATTGATATTTGGATTGGTTGTGAGTCCATACCTTGATTAACTTCATATATATTTAACAGTCTAATAAAGTAGTTTGAATCTGTTGAATTTTGTTTTGTAAATGTTAATAGGTGTAAATCATATGGTAGTGATTCTGAAAATGGTTTATATAATGTATTATAGGCTTGAGTCCATTTATCAATACTGATATCACTAACGGCTGAATAAACTGGTATTAAAGGGTTTTCTAAGAGTAATGAAAGTGGTGTTCTTATTTGTTCTATATTTGATGGATCGCCAAACAAAACCCTAACTTTGATTAATGGATTTGAAATATCATTCATGTTTTCATGAAGAGTAGAGCCCAGCGATTCGGATCTTCTAACAAAAAGTAACTCTAAATCTCCATTGCTTTGACTACTAGCTCCCATAGTTTGTCTCGTTAATACTGATAATTGTTTTGGTAAAGGTGTTTGAACTTGATCTAAAATCTGTGCTGTATTGATGGAAGGGAAAAAATTGGCAGCAATAACACTCCATGGTTCATCATCTCCAAATACTACTTTATATTGTCTTTGCATCATTTCTAAACCATTGCTTGTATAAAAAATATTATTATTATTGATATTTGTGGAAAATTTACTTGCAACCTCTTTGTTCCAACCAGCAGCAACTATATTATCAATTTCAAAATATTGCTCTTCATTAATAAATTGGCCCAGTGTATTATTTGAATTATATACAATATATGATTGAGAGCAATTAGATGTATAAATAATTGTTACAATTTTAACTAATGTACCATTGGTAATATAGTATTTTGGATTAACTGGTTTTAGATTAACTGGGGGACCATTGGGTCTAAATGTATAAGAGCTGTCGCTATAACTTGAGTATTCTATATAGTTTTGTGTAATTGGGATTGATAGTTCATTTCTTTGTAAATCATCAAAACTATTTAAACTTAATAAATTATAGTTGTTAAACTTGAAATTTAAATTAAATAATGTATTACCAATGGTAATAGGTTCTGAATCTTGAGCTATTTCATTTGAATATATTACTTGGGAAATTATTGGTTTTTGAACTATTTTTTCTTCAATCAAATATAATAATTCTTTATTAAAAATTTGACCGGAGCTATCAGTGATGATAAAAAAATAAGTTGAGATACCAAGGGCTGGAGTTTTAATTTGAGTATAAATATACCAATTTCCATTTTTATCCATTCTTTGAACTGTTTGTGATGGAACAGGGTTTAGGTCGTAATCATAGATAGCCACAATAATAGATTCTGGAATTTCAATTTCTACAAATTCATAACGGTCCCACGATAAACTATTTGTGAAAGAAATAGCATAAATATCACCTTCGTTTGGATTGTTATCAATGATGGTATTATTACATGAATAGTCTAAATATATAGTCTGATTTGCAAGTAAGAAACCGACAGCACCTGGCATTACTTTAAGCATAGTTTGATGTTGAACTTCCTCTAACATTTCCATGTAATTTTTTCTAACAGCGAGTATTGATGTTCCGGTTACTGCATCATGGTGAGTAAGGATACCACTAATATTTCTATGTCGAGATATTGCACCAAAAGCATCTTCAAAATCAAAACTAAAGGGACTATTTGCTAATTTACTCGAAGATAACGAGTATAGCATTTCAGCGGCTCTTAATAAAGAATCTGACTTTCTAACAACTTGTTTTAATTCTGCATAGGAGCTATAAAAACCAGACCAATAGTTTGCACATGTTCCAAAAGAGGACAAATAGTTTTGATACTCGCACTGAGTATATACAAAATAATCATCACTTGAAAATTTTGGAAATGATATTGGTTCATCATTTGAAGTTTGATCCATAGCTGTACTATTAAAAACTGCTTCAAAATATTCATCCAAAGTTGCATATTTAATATTGATACCAAAATGTGGATTTGAGTTAAAATACTCTATGAGTCTATCCATGTTATCAAATTCCAATGCTGAGTTCTGAAATCTAAAATCTCCTCCAAAAGGTAACAATAGATTCTTATGCCTGAATAAAGCTGATCTTTCTTGAACAATTTGAAAAAATAAATTTGCTCTTTCTTTAATATTATCTTTTGTAATTGGTGGGTTTTGCGAAGAAGGACCTTCAAAATCGAAACCAGTAGTATATGATAACATTGGAGCTAGATAATTTTCAATTGATAAACTTAATTAAAAAAAAATTATTAATTATTTTTTTTTTTTTTTTTTTTATAATTTATGATAATTTACAATGGTGAGCTATAATGATGGTCCAAAACATGTGTAAATATTGATAGATTTTTGTTATTTGGGGATGGGTACCACATAAATTCGAATTCTCTTTCAATTTCCATTATCCCTGAATCTTTTATATCCATTTGCTCTGCATTAAAAACATATTTAATTCTTTCATCAATTCTATTGATCACATGATACTTAAACCCCATTAAAGAAAACAGTGTTGCTGTTAGCGTTGAGGGTCCAAATGGATCAATTTGCCAGCCGATTTCTGGTTTTACTTGAAATTCATTTAAAAGAAATTGATGACCAAGTGTCATTTGATTAATAACTGCTTGATAATCTGTTGTGGCTTCATCATTTTGAGCCCATCCCCCACCTACAAAATATAATTGTTTATCTTGAACTAAACCTTTAACTGTTTCTTTAATATTTGTTGTCTGCTCACTGTACCATCTTTCAAAATAAACCCTATAAAAAAAAAAAAAAATAAAAATAAAAATAAAAAAAAATGGTTAAGTAAAAAGTAAAAAGTAAAAAAATAAAAAAAATTTATACTTACATTTCAGCCCAATTAAATTTTTTGGTTGGGTCTTTTGATAAAGTAGCTACAATATTATCTAAAACACGGGTTACATTTAATTCGTAATATGAGTTGTATGTCTGTTTCCAACCAACGTCGCTGTGTGAATGAGGAATTAGAAATACTTGAATTTGATCATTATTTTCCTTTGATGTATTTACATAAATTATATTTAATATAACAAATAAAAATATAATTTTAATTCTCATTTTTTTTTGAAAATTTAAAACAAAAAACAAAAACATTTTGGTGGCACATAAATTTCAAAATTTTATAAAACAAAAATTTATAAATTAATTTAAATAATTTTTTTTTATTTTTTTTTTCATTTTTTTCAACAAATTTTTAGAAATATCCTCATCCAGGGATAATTTAATATTTTTCCTATTACCTTTTTTTTAAATTTTTGAATTTATATCATATTATGATATTAAAAAAAATTTTATTTAGATTTATAAAAAAAATTATAGTTTAACAAAGTAATTAAAGGAATTGATGATGAACTGTAGTTTATTTATTAAATAATTATTTTATATTTATTAAATAATTATTTTATATTTATTTGTGTGTTTTGGAGTTATTTTGATTTTATGTATGGGTTAAAATAGATATATTTTTTGTATGTGGTGTTTGAATTGTGCTAGTGTTGGTGTGTGTGTTTTTTGAATATTGTGAATTTATTTATAATGTTTATTTATATAGAAACAAAAGGAATTAATACTTCAGTGGTAGTAAAATAACAATATTTTTATTAACATCATTACTACTTGTATTATTAATATTATTTACTTGGGACGTTTATTTTTAAGATTGGTGGTGGGGTGGTGGTGAATAGTTTTATAATAAAAAAAAAAAAAAAAAAAAAAAAGAAAAAAGAAATATTTTATTATACAATTTATTTGATATGATATAAAATAGGTTATAATAATATTTTTTAAACCTATTAGGGGTAATCCATACCATTAAGCCACCTCAAACACTACCAAACTAAATCAATTGAAAAAATTTGCCAAATAAATTTTATTTTCTCTATGAATGAAAATAATGAACAAAATAACAATGAAATAAAATAAAAATCTTTAAAAACCTGAAAACCCTATACCTCCTCCTAAAATTGATATTGGTATTTAACCAAAATATTTTTTCATTTATTTTTAATTTTTATTGAAAAAAAAAAAAATACTTGAAAAAAGTTTTACTAAAATTTAATCTAATTATGAAATTGGCCAATGCTGAATAATTTTATTATTTCTATGAATATTCCAATTTGTAAAATACATATAAAATACAATTATAATACAAAATATATTTTTATAAATAAAACTTGAAATGGCTCATACTACCACTCACACCCCACACAATTTCAAAAATCATGAATTTTCCGCTGTGTGAGAATTTACCATAAAAATTATCCACCTGAAATTCTTTTAATTAATATATATAACTACAAAATTATAACTGGGAACTAATTGATTTTTTTTTAAAAAAAGTTCATATAAGCACTTATTATTCATGGTGATTATGATAGTTTACTTATAATACAAAAAATAATATTTATTAAATATAAAATAAAAAAATTTATTTAATATTATAATATATATATATTTTTTTTCCGAAACCCAATATTTTTTTTTATTTTTTTATTTTATTATTTTACCATTATTTTAAGTAGTGGTATCTTTATTAAAATTAATAGAAAATGAAATTGCTATTGTTATTGATACTAATATTTACAATAAACTTTATTTTTGTTAAATCCCAACAAAGTAATAAAAAAAAAGAAAAATAAAAAAAATAAAATAAAAATAAAAAAAATATTTATTAATAACTATTTTAATTTAATTATAGCACTTACTTTAAATGGTGTAATTAGAGATCAAACGCCAAGTCGTAATCCAGATTTCCAGTTTAATGTTGTTTCACAGAAAGGGGCTGTTAAAACAGATTTAGGAGCTGATGGTACTCCAGTTTATTGGTAAGGTTCATATTAATAAAAAAAAAATAAAAATAAATATTAATTAAAAAAATTTTAAAACTATAGTTGTGGTGATTCAGCTTATAACTCAATACATAATTCAACTACATTTTATAGTAAGTATTATTATAGATCATAATAGAGTATTTTATTAACTTTTTTAATAATTTTTTAAAAGGTTGGTTTCATGATGTTAGTGGAATTAACATTCCAATTCAAAAGAGTATTATATTAACCCAGAGTCCCAACGACCCAAATATTTACATTTACCAAAATTATACATATTTTCCAATTGATGGCGAGGTATGATATACAAGTTTAGTTGGTTACTTTACTTTTGTATTAATTATTTTAATTTTAATATTTAAAAATTATAGGGTTTTGATAATAAAGTAAATAGAGTTCTATATATGTCTTGATTTTATTTAACAGAACTAACATTCTATATGATATAATAGGCAAAGTTTTTAAATGAACAGGTATACCTTGATGGTAAAGGTGTTGCTCACAATTTCCATTTCTGGTATGTATATTCATAAATTTTAATTTTAATTAAATAATATTA